GTTCCTTTACCTTATAATGCTATGTATTTGGATAGTGTCAGTGATGTCGCACGAAACGTGGCTATGGAGATGTTGTATGATAGATCCATCATAGATGAGATGTAGCGATATGGATTACTCGAATAGGAATTGTACCTGACGATCAGTATTAGTGCGTATACCCGTCTCCATTTCCACATGGCTGTGGGGAATAACAGGTCTCGATATATGCATATCTATACTGCAGATGTGATATCAAGTCCAGCTTGTAATCACTGTTTACTCTGTATACCATAGGTAGTGTATACAATTCATCATGCCAATCGGAAATCTACTCCGACTCGCCGCTTGCATCAGCCCTTGTTCCAGCCAAGGCGGACTTCGGGACAGATGTCCGTGAGGCCTGTTTCATCACGTGTGGCTTCAGAGGATGGTAGCACCTTGGCAAGTGCTTGTTCTGCTTCAAGCTACACTGCCATGGCTGTAGTGTACTTGGCGACAAGGAAGGCTTGTCAAGCAGATTCTGACATTGAAAACTAGCAATAATTCTAAAGCAATGGAAGTCCAGATTCAATGTCCGTCGCGGTGATCCCCGATTGCGGCAGGTAAGCCTGATAACAGGCAAGGCACACACTTCCCGCGCTAGGCGCATATCCTCCATTAGAATGTTTCATACCAACTGGGTGAAGTGGCCGAGGCACGAGCACTCCTTCTTAGAGCGAAACTAGGCACTCCGTGTACAGCTGCAAACCTTCTAGAACATCTTTTAGTCCACGTGCGTATGGCCTCGCCCCCAGCGCAAGGGATGGAATGTTGGAACGCAGAAAATTCTTCGCCCCTTCTTCTTGAAATCCTGCATCAGCATGGCGCCTGTATCATGATCTCTTTGCTTGTGAATGGCTGATATTGCCACACTGCTTCTGCTGTTCCAGGGTCGACGCCCGAACAGGTTGTGTCTAGGAGGTCCAAGTCACTTGCGTAGTGTAGTGTAGAAAGACAGCACGTGCGACAACCGCAGCGTCTCATTCATTGGCACGATGAGATGCTAGTTCGATGTCATTTGTATGTAACCTTGGAAGCAGTAGTGAAGCAGAACCTAACTAGAGAGCATGAAGTGGCTTCAGATAGTGAGACTGGGCAAGCCATCAGATGCCCTGGAGGCATCGATTTCTTGGCATGGCTGTGGGTCCCTGGCCACTCAGCACGGCGGAACTGAGCATGTTCTGGAGTACGGTGTTCTGATTGGCTGTATATTGACTGTATATTTTCCGAAAGGTTTGCAAGCTCGGACGGCCCGAACCAATCAGAGACCGGATTCTGTACGGGTTAAATGACCAATTCAGCAACGCTTAGCAAGAGTAAAAAAGCAAGCGTCGGCCGTCTGGGCAAAGGTCTTGATGAAGCTTAGGTGAGCTTGGGTCGCGATACTAGTGGCTCCCTGACTTTCTCGCAGGCGTGTAGAGTGACATGCCTTAGTCACAGGAGTGGTTGACACGAACATGGCGGGGTCCAGATTCACTATCGTGGCCCGACTCGCGGTCTCGATTCGTTGCAGCCATCGTTTAATCTTGTTCACGGGCTTGGAGCCAAGTAAGCTAAAAAAACGCCTGCATCTGTGTCGTCTCTGTACTCTTTGTACATAAGGGGGTCGATCCCATCTTTGACACGAAGTTCCTTTGAATCCTTCCGAGGACTAGGTTCGACGACTCTGAGTCCCCTGCCTGGCGTGGTCTTTTCATTTAAATATACATCTTTAATACTTTCCACTCTCCTTTAACCAACCTCAGCCATGGCTTCTACAGAAGGCGGCAACTCCGCCTTCCGGAACTACAACAATGAGTTGGCTCATGTGGAGGATCCCCGAGAGCGTCGTCGTCAGGCTCTGGCCGAGATTGACAATGCCAAGTTCGGCTGGTACCACGTCCGCGCCGTCGTCGTTGCCGGTGTGGGTTTCTTCACTGACTCCTACGACATCTTCGCCATCAACCTGGCCTCCAGCATGCTGGGTGTTGTCTTCTGGCAGGACGCCAAGTCCAACCCCGGCAAGACGCCCTCGACCGCAGATACTGCTATCAAGGTGTCTACCTCTGGTGGTACGGTCATTGGACAGCTATTTTTCGGTTGGCTTGCGGATCGCATCGGTCGTAAGCGCATGTACGGTATTGAATTGATCATCATCATCATGGCCACTCTGGCTCAGGCTCTCTCCTCGGACTCGACTGCTATCTCCATCGTTGGTATTCTCATCTTCTGGCGTGTTATCATGGGCATTGGTATCGGTGGCGATTACCCTCTGTCTTCTATCATTACTTCTGAGTATGCTCCCCTGTTTGAACGTTCGCTGCTGTTGGACTTCCGCTGACATGGTTCCTTGTTCAGGTTTGCTACCACAAAGTGGAGAGGTGCCATGATGGGTTCCGTCTTTGCCATGCAGGGTTTCGGTCAATTCGCGGCGGCCATCATCGCTCTGATTGTTACTGCTGGCTTTAAGGAATCTCTGGAGACTGCCAGCTCCGTGGGCAAGTGCTCCGGTGTCTGCCAGCTTGCTGTCGACAAGATGTGGCGTGTGGTCATCGGTTTCGGTGCCGTCCCTGCCTGCATCGCCCTCTACTACCGTCTCACCATCCCCGAAACCCCCCGCTACACTTTCGATGTTGCCCACGACATTATCAAGGCCGACGAGGACGTCCGTGCCTATATGACCGGCAAGCACGAGGGTCACCCCGACGAGGTCCGCCGCCAGTCTGTCCTCCAGAAGCACGGCGGTGACGTGACCCCCAAGGCCAGCTGGGCTGATTTCTGGCGCCACTACTTGCAGTGGAAGAACGGAAGTATCCTGCTTGGTACTGCTGGTTCTTGGTTCTTCCTCGACGTTGGTAAGTCTCGTCACCTGCCGAGCTAGCTTTGAAATGATATTAACTTTCAATAGCGTTCTACGGTCTTGGTCTCAACAACTCTATCATCCTGAGTGCTATCGGCTGGAGCGGCGGCAAGAACGTCTACGAAGTCTTCTACAAGAACGCCGTCGGTAACCTGATCCTGATCTGTGCGGGTGCCATCCCCGGCTACTGGATGACCGTGGCCACCGTCGACACCATCGGCCGCAAGCCTATCCAGCTGGGTGGCTTCATCATCCTGACCATTGTCTTCATCGTGATCGGTTTCGCCTACGACCCCCTGTTGAAATCCAACAACGGTCTGCTGGGTCTGTACGTCGTCGCGCAGTTCTTCTTCAACTTCGGCCCCAACGCGACCACCTTCATCGTGCCTGGCGAGTGCTTCCCCACCCGCTACCGGTCCACCTCGCACGGTATCTCCGCCGCGTCCGGCAAGGTCGGCGCCATCATCGCGCAGTGTGTGTTTGGACCTCTGGTGCACAAGGGCTCCAATGACCCGTCCAAGTCCCCCTGGCTCAACCACGTCATGCAGATCTTTGCTCTGTTCATGCTGTGCGGCTGCTTCACCACTCTGCTCATTCCCGAGACCAAGCGCAAGACCCTCGAGCAGCTGTCCGGGGAGGAGTTTGACACTGATACCCTGGTGCAGAACTCTCCCATGATCCAGGCGGAGAAGAAGGACAACGCGACCGTTGCCGCTGTCTAAGTAAATGATGATGTTGGATAAATGACTGCTATGTCATGACTGTGAATAAATCCGTGCCTATGGCCGTTCCTTTGTTATAGATACCATAGTTAATGTACTTTAATCAATCATCTGCACGTACATCTGTCATCTGTCCACGACATCCGTAGTAAGTACGCAGCACGCAGTACTACACTCAACCCATCCAGAACCAGAATAAAGATACAGATTAAATCCAAGTCGCATGAAAGAAAACTACAGTCTCGATTTTTATTATTTCATTCCAAACCGAGTTAGGGCAAACGAGAAGGTCAAGTGGCGTTGTGGAATTTTATCCTTAAATACCTCGACTCCCGTCCCCAACATTCTCGCACTCTCTCCTCCACCTCCACCTACCTCCCATACTCAAAACCAAGCCAAAATGTCGCCAACAACAACCACCACGGCATCAACCACTGCCTCTACAAACCAAAATGACCCCCAAGAAATCCCCGAATTAAAAACCTACCCCGCCACCACAAAAGACGACCTCATCTCCGCCCTCCGCCTCGTCGCCGATTCCGTCGCGCAACAGCGCCAAACCGCCGCGCGCGCACTCATCTTCCACCCCCTCTGGCTATCTGCCATGGCGGCCGTGATCGCAATCGTCTATAAAGCGATGTACACCAATTCCTCTGACCTCCCGCTCATCGGGACGACGAGCGCAGGGTGCGTGATGGCGGGGTTGTTGGTTGTGAGGGGGTTGACGGGGGGTTATATCGAGGAGGCGGAGAGGGTTGGGAAGTGGGAGTGGCTCTTCCCCGCTTCTAGCACTGGGACAGAAGGAGAGGAGAAGGGGCAGGAGCAGGAGGTTCTGGTGACCAAGTTCGGGGAGAGGATTATTGGCGCGGTTGTGCTGCGTGGTGTTCCTGCCGCTGCAGAGGAGAAGGGAAAAGTGACGGGGGTTATTCGGGCGTGGACGGTTGAGAGACGGTACCGCGGAAAAGGGGTGGGGGTTGGATTGCTAGAGGAGGCAGTTGAGGTCTGCAGAGAGAAGGGATGGGAGGGGCCGGTGTTTGATGAGGAGCATGCGAATGCGAAGAGGGTGTTGCCGGGGTTGTTTAATGGGGGGTTTGAGAGGAGAGAGAAACGGGCGAGGAAGGTGTTGGAGGGGGTGAAGAAAAGAATGGAGTAGAAGCCATGATTGATGTATGATAGTTATGTACCTATTTTAATAATGTTTATAGATCTCTGAGTGATTTGCTTACAGCACCATGTCCAGATATCCAACTTGGATAGATACCACGACGGAAATAGTGCTGATTCCTTCTGATTTGAAGAGAGGTAGTATCTTGAAGATAGATTTCTTTCTACCGTTCTATGTGATTGACTGTGATCCTGACCACTAATACACCAAATGACTCTGTTTCAGCATACAGTGTTGGATTAGTTAATTGTGGCTAGTCAAGACCGAAGTCTACTACGTCGAACTGTCCCTCGCGAAAGGCTCCCATCGTCTCGCCCTGCATAATGCCGTGCACATAACTTTCGCCAACAAGCACATATCGACCGTTGGGCTTCCGCCGTAGTATTATAGGTACCATGGCCCCAAATAGGATGCAGCAGATGTCGCCCTCCTTCAAGGCGCGCGGTCCGATTCCTAGAAAGCCGCGTTTCGTGATAAAGACCTGCCGATTCGCCATGACCACCTGCATGTCCATGAGGAACTGGAGACGATCGCCCTTCCCCGCCTTTGATGCACGTGTGCGCTGGGCTACAGAACGCGAGATAAAGGCGGCGAAATTCGCATCTAGTGTCTCCTCGTCCGATATCGCCGCGGGACCGTGCAAGAACATAGAGCTCTGCACAGCGCTCCAGTTAGTCAGTCCGGCCGTTAGCGTACGCCCTAACGCTGTGGCCAGCCCGTTGGTGAATTCCTTCGGATCCTGGTCTGTGTATGGCGAGCTGATGTCGTGTAGATGCTCAAGTATATCGTGTATGGAGCTAGACATCTTGATGTCGAGTGCCTCGAGATTTTTGCCATAGCGCTCGAACGGGACGGATACGATGCAACTGACAATCTCATCGAACTCAAACCCTCGCACCATTAGGACGTCGCCCTCGACGGAGATACGCTGGAGTGTGGAAGACCCAGGAGACACGTTGTAGGCGAGTTCTTCACTGGTGGTATTCAATCCGTCTCCCAGTGTAATGCAGTGTTTGCGGGTGTCCCATCTGGGGACCCATGAAGGATGACCCTCCAGCATGATGGTATGTTCGTCCTGTTCGACAGCTGCGAGGAGTCGCAGGTTGCCAGTCTCTGTCAATATTGCCTCGGAAACTTCTTTAAATACGAGAGATGGCCTCTTCGCGTAGTCAGGCTGCACATGTGATGAATTTTCCTTCGTTTGATCTGCCTGCGTATTGTCATGGCGGTAAAATTTGCGAGCTGCTTGATGTCCCAGGGTTGCATAGATGTAGTCGTGTTTAACACTTGCTATGCTTGTCCGCGAAGCCTGCAGGATGTCCAGGTAATCAACCCTGTCGTTTAAATCGACGAACATTTGATACTTGTACAAGAAAACAACGTTGAACGCTCGCGTTAGAATGGCGCCCTTCAAGTGGTACGTTTGGTAAACAGGTAGTCGAGAGCCGGCGAAGGCCATCATCGAGACGAAAAGCTCTATGGACATTTTATCGATGGTCTCCCGGCCATAGAGAAACTCGCCCTGGTATGCTAATCCGAATTCTTGGAGAACCCATGCTCGAGACCACCAGTCGCAGCTGAGCAGACTGATTGTTTCTTCCCACTCATTCTGCGAGATGGAATGGAACATTGCAGGGGACACTTGTGCTGAGAATCGTCTCGGCTCGAAGTCAGCTTTCGGTGGACTCTTGAAGTGGCGCAGCCAGGTCTCAAATATATTGTTGATTTTCTTGAGTACCTTCATGGCGCGCGTATCTCGCGAGGTATCTCCGTCGAGACAGAAAAGCACAGTTCTGGCCCCTTCATATATCTTGTCCATGATACTAACCTGCTGATTCTTCTCCAAGACATCATCCTGGTTGATACAAATTGCGTCTGCCCACAATGTCCTACTTGACTCCGATAGGCGAACTCTTAGCAGCACCTGTTCGAGACTTGCTGTGATCGGCAAAAATGCACCGTTACAGATAATGCTCCCAGTTTTTTCCACGGAGCCCCAGACATAGGAGACGGCCTCGTATCGATGTGGCCAGTTTGGTCTCTGTCCTAAAGGGTACTCATACAGGCGGCATTCTAGAGGATCGTGAGCGGAACCTGGTTGCAAATCAATAACCCGAATAGAGTCGTCTAACTGGAGCTTCTCATAGGCGAACACTGAAACGGGATGAGCCCCTGTAGATGATCCTCCGGACTGTGTCTGCCGAGCGAGGCTTCGCCGTTGTGGGCTGCCGCGAATGGGTCTAATATGCGGTACGCGCTCCTCGATAGCTCGCGCAGGTTTGTCTGGGACATATTAGTGGTTGGTTTGATCCGGGCAGAGGACATGAAGCATCACACCGCGGCGTTTTGAAGCCGACGTTGGCTGCCTGTGCTTCTTTACGGTAGACCCCATGGCGTGGTGGACACTCGAAATCAAATGTGCGGCTATTGTAGGTATAGCCCTTGAGACTAAGCTGCTGATTTCTCCGTAGTTACCAGGGAAAATAAAATCCGGCAATTTGTTTGAGTTGCTAAACAACTTCCTAGCTGGCCTGAACAGTTGGGCAGGATTATGCGCAGCTGCCTTGTGGCCTGTCCAAACGAGGTCGACTGAGCTAGCTTAGGTGTCATTCTGTGTTGTACCCTGTCCCTAGCTGTCGATCTTTAAATTTATCCTCTGCACCTGCCTTATAGGATATGAGGAAATATGGAGGTAGGACATGGAGATAGCACTCTTCCTTCTGCCCAGAGCGCTGAATAAGCCTTGATGATTTGTTTCTATACAGACCCTCTATTATGTAATGACGTCACTAGTAGATTCCCAAACAAACCAACCTTCTCATGCATCAAAATTCTGGAGTCTATTTATTCTGAGTAAAGCTAGAATCTTCTTCTATGGTCAATCAAGCGATAATCAAGGACGATAGAGTTTCACAAACGACGTGGAGCACCCCAGGATACCTAAATATAGCACTGGGATGCCCCGACAACCCACCTGATTGGCTGCGCCTGTGCCAGCTCTGACATTCTTTCTTTGTTGTCATGCGATCTCCGATCTTTAAGTTTATATAATTGGAATCTGAGCGCTCTGTTCTTTTAATTCTTCTGATCTTACTTCATACGGTCGGCTGTTGCATACAACCACCAGCCTACATCTACCTTTACTCTACGTCGACACCAAAGTCAAACTATGGACGTGGCGACAACAACAATGTCATCAACATCAACATCAACAGCAACCTCCACCACCTCAGGAGCATCAGCGACATGCACAGGCAACCGCTGGGTCCTCCCCGTCCAGGACGTCGCGTGCGCCCTCCCCGCAACAGGAAACTACTCCTCCGTCATGGACAAATGCTGCTCCCCGGCAGCCGTCACGAAATACAACGACGGGTGTGGCCTGTACTGTCTCGCACAGGGGCATAGCATGGGCGAGTTGCTAAAGTGTATTGAGGAGAATGGAGGCAATAAGGATGTGTTTTGTGGGGGGCAGTTGAATGCCACCGCGACGGCGAGTTTGAGTTCCACGGCGTCGAGTACGGGGTCGAAGACGGGGGCGAGCGCGAGTCAGACGAGTCATAGTGGTGCTGGGACGAAGCGAGTGTCGGTTTTGGGGGTGGGGTTGATGGTGTTGGTTGTTTGTGGGATGGTGATTTGATTCTTCGCTTTGCTTTGCTTCTGCGATCGGTGATGGGAATGCATATGGGTGGTAACGTGGTGTTGTATTGTACTTTTGTACTTTTCATGCTGAGTCGAATGGATATGATTTTTGTACGAGTTTGGTTCCTGGATCTGCAGGAGGAATAGCTGCGCTGTAGATGCCCTTGAGATGTATGACTTATAGCTGTCAACCAGACCACATAGGCGTAGTTGGATATCAATCTAGCGTATGCTCGTCGTGATTCCTCCGCCTTGGGAGGACACTTATCTGAGTGAGTTGGGCTTCCATCAGCATGCTGAGTATCGACAAGGCCAGTATGATGGCATACAACTGATGCTGCACCTCTGTAGATACCTCCTGAATGAAGGTCAGAATTTATGTATGGGTCAATTACTTGGATGGACGTTCATCATGCTCGTGACGACTAAAGCAAAGAGTCTGCTGTGTCCGCGCACCAAAATTCTTTACTTCAGTGACTCATCCTCCTAGTTTGATCTGCAATAGCATGCGACGGTTCGATTCTCCAACGGACCCTTCAAGCATTGGAGCCATCAGGCTTTAGACAGCGTTGGGTAGGTCCATAGCTGTTCGGAATAGTTTGAAACTGTGGATCAGGAATATGAGAACTCTGCTGTTGATTGCAAAGGTGAAAACAAGTCTTAATATTTCTTATCCACTCTCAGTTGACGGAAAGTGGATAGTGATATTCGAAAGTTGAGCAATATACCCAAATAGGAAAAACGCCCAACTACTCCAACTCTTCCCGAAACGGCAAAACACCCAACCATAGCCTCAGACCCACCACCTTTTCTGATATCAGATGTACGCTTGTCACTGCTCGCTAAGTCTCATGCTGAGCAGGAATCCCCGGCAGCCCCATCCACAACCCCATAATTCCCCCCAGCAAGCCAATCGCAAACGGCTGCAACACCTTGACCCCCTTGGCCTGCGCAATCGCCCCAACAGCAAACGGCAGCACTGAGCCGCCTCCTGCTCCAAAGGCCGCCGCAAAGCCAATCGCAGTGACGTGCAGCCCACGCGGCAGCAACTTGGTCGCCACGACCACAACAGCAGGGAACAGCGGACCGAGGAAGAAGCCCTGGAGCGAGACGGCCACGGTGGAAACGTAAAAGTTCGGAACGAGCCAGAGGATGAGACCCAAGGCGATGGAGAGGACGAGATAGATCTGCAGCGCAGCATCAGCACGGCACCCAATAATCAAGGGACGGGAAGCTTACAGAAATGGCCAGTTTCTCACCCACCCTAGGGGTCACAAACCCTAGTACCACCCGGCCCACCGTAATCCCCAACCAGAACCCGGTCGCCACCATCCCACTCGCAAAGGGCTCGCCGTGCCGCTCGCGCATCATGAAGGTGACGATCCACCCGCCCAGCGCAACCTCCACGCCGACATACAGCAGCAGGAAAACCGAACACAGCCAGGTAATCCTTCCCGCGCGTTTCGTGAACAGCGCCTTACGCAAGCTACCACCGCCGGTGCCGGTGCCACCAGTCGAATGCTGCGTGTCCCGCCGGAAGACCGCCCCAGTATCATCCCAGAAGCAGTAGACTGAGGTTGCTAGCTCGATGACCGCGCAGCCAATCTACCATTGTCAGTTCATCCGCACTTACATCCCATGGGACAGAGGAAGACAAACCATGATGTAATAGAAATACCACCAGCCCACCCCCACCTTCGTGACCAGCGCTGTGGCAACCAACGGCGCAAGCACTGCCCCCGCGCCGTAGAATCCATGTAGCAGGCCCAACACCTGGTTCGCATCCGCCATGTTGCCGACCCAGGCATTCCACCCTGAGTCCGCGAGGCCGTTGCCGAACCCCGCGAAGATGAAGCTCACCACGAGAACAGGGTATGGCGGGTGTAGGCAGTTGATAATGTACGAGAGGATATGGCACGAGGGGGCGATGATTGCCACGCCGCGCCGGCCGAGGCGCAGGTGGATGTGGTTGTTTGTTAGTGCAGCGAGGGCATACCCGCCCAGCGGGGAGAGGAAGACGAGCGAGACGATCGTGTAGGTGAGGGAGTAGTGTTGTTCCAACTTGTCGGTCAGTATTTTGGCTGGTAGTATAGGATATTGATACTTACGTAGGGAATTAGTGGCTAAGTATGTGTCAGTTATTGAAATGAATGAAGATACAGAGTAGAAGGCTTACACCGTATGCGGCGTCATTTGCGCCCATGACGAGAAAGGCCCAGAAGGTCGCGAGGGTCTTGTAGATGTTCGCCTTGGGATGGTTCCATCGTTCGATGGCGGGGAAGACATTCCCTGACGGCGGGGAATGCGATGCTTCAAGTTGGATACTGGCGAGTCCGTTATTGTCTTCATTTCGAGAGTATGTTTTTGTAGTAGTTGTAGTAGTTGTTGTTGTTGCCATGTCGCAGATATCCAGGATGAACGTTGACAGAAAATTGTAAAGAAATGTCGGACTGATCGACGCACAAGCTGCATTTATAGCTGCCGACTGTCAACTGGCTAACTTCAGTTTCCCGATTAGGCCGAGCTCGTTCCGACCTTCCTTATGGCCCACGGCGCAGCTCCAGTCTCCAGTGGAGAACTGTGGAGAACTAACACGACTACTAAGTGTTTCTTGGCTGTGCTAACTTGGTGACTCATGGGATTGGGGTAGACTAGACTAATCCTTGGCAGCTCAATTCATCATCAGAACGTCAATCATTTAGCAAATGGAATCATGATCTCTGCTTAGAGAGGTTCTTCTCTAATCCCAAACTCTGACGCCCACAAAATCCGCCGCATAAGTTTGAAAACCATTCTGTCCACCCTCATTCCCGAACACCACCTTATTCTGCCCCTTCTTCCATCCAGAGGTCAGAACCCCGAGCGTCGCTGTATCCCACCAGCCCTTGCCAGGCGAGTACAGCTCGCTATGCCGTCCGCTCAACGGGACCTCCAGTCGCACTGGCGCTCCGTCGTTGATGCTGACGGTCAGATTGCGCGAGTTGGATCCCCAGCCCCAAGATGACGAGAAGGCGACATCATTGTTGATGTAGTCGATCGCGAGGTACTTGGACCCCGGGGTGGTCGCTGGAATCGATGTGTAGGCGTTGCTATTGGGACTGAGGTAGCCGATTTTTGAGCCAACGGGGCTGCAGCCGGACCCGCAGGTGGTGTGCTGGGCGCTGCCGGTAACGTTAAAGACGGTGTTGGCGTAGTAGGTGCCGGTCGGTGGGGTAATCTGGATCGACTCAATAGGGGTCGTGTGCTGGATGGTGATGGTGTTCGATCCAGCCGTCAGGGCGATTCGCGTCGATTTGCCAGAGGTCGAGACAGTCTGGCCGGAAGAGGTCGTGATGGTGACGGTTTCGGTGGATGATCGCGAAAAGCTGATGGCCAGCGTGTAGTTTGCGCTGGTAGTAGCTGCATAGACTGACTGGAAAGTGGTTTTTTGACTGCCTGTAGAGTTCGCGAAGATATTGGCTGGATATGACCCCGATTGGACGGTACCCTGCAACTCCAGAAGCATCGTTCCATGTCCTGCCACACTCGCAGTGTACGATGTTCGCACATCACGAACCACGGTGTTGCCCCATATATTTCTGACAACTTGTGCATACTGCAGACCAACATCAGGCAGATCGAGCGTGAGATCCCTCGACTCATTTCGCCAATTGATGACCGCTACCACGGTCCTGTTGCCCGACAGTGGTCCACTCCACACCTCGTACCCTTCGTCCGACCACCTCCGCTTCAGACTCGCACTCACCCCCAGCGAATCCTGGTTAAACCCAATGACATCCTTCTGCTTCAGCACCTCCAACGATGCCTGGTTGATACTAGTGACATCATCCTTCAACGCCGCCCCAATAGTCAATGGACTTTTCAGAATCGCCCACAGGGAGAAGTGCGTCTGCTCCTCCGGCACCGAAAACACCCCGTTACCCACAAACAACATATCCAGATCTGGCCAGTGACCGGGTCCAGCAAAATCCGTGTTGGGAACGGCCTGGTTCAGCGTGCGAAAGATGGTTCGCCACGCGGGGATGATGTCGTTGCCGATGCGCCAGGAGTTCCCAAGCGCAGGGGCCCAAAGAGCAGGAAAGTCGATACCCCATTCGCAGATTTGGAAGAGGATTGGTCGGCCGACACGGGAGAGGGCAGACGACATTATCTGATAGCGGGAACTAGGAGACGTGCTGGGCTCGTAGTTGACATTGGGGTAGTTGGTGGCGTTGTCCGAGTAGCAGTTGTCATCTACATGATCAGCGGAGCTCTATCTTGTAGGGACGGACATACACTTTAACGCATCCGCCCCCCATTCGGCGAACGTCTGCGCATCCTGTCCTTCGTGGTCTGGTAAATTAGTCAAGCCCAAAATCAAGCATGACGGCACTTACACAAGCTGCCAGCATGGTCTGTCCCACACATCTTGATTCCCGAGTCCTCGTAAACACCGAACAGCAGCCCCAATCCATGAAGATACCTTCCCATGGCGGGAAACCCGCTCGGAAACAAGGTCTCGTTCCAGGTCAAGGTGCCATTCGGTAGCCGATCGGCTACTGACCAGCCACAGTCGGTGGTGACATAGCGGTAGCCTAGTGCGGAGAGTCCTAGATCAACGAGCGCTTTGGCGTTGGAGCGTACTATGGCTTCATTAGGCGAGCATGAGTAGTGGTTGTACGTGTTCCACCTGGCTAGTTAGTGAAGGCCAATCACCAGCAGGAGCAACATACCCCATTTGTGGCGTCTTAGCCAGGCCATTGTCGATGCGTGGATGAAGAGAACCAGCCGCAAGGACTGGCGAAAGTAATAGAAGTGTGACAATGGACTCCATCTTGCCTGCGGACAATAGACTGAAATCTATCAAGCTAGAGAGGTATTTATACTCTTTATGCTAAACGGGCCAATAACCCAATTCGGCGCAGTTCCTGTGGTACGTTTGTCTGAGCACTGTCGATATGCGGAGAATTTCCGAGTTGGGAGTCGAACAATGCAGATCATATTAAAAAGCGGGGAAATTGCGGTTAAATATTTCCAGCCTTTTGCAGGAAAAGCGATGCCATTCCCTCTTAGAATGCCCAAGAGTGGTGCAATAGGCAAATCCCGCTTCTCAGGAACCATCGCAGCAGATCTGCCGGCTTATGTGTCTGCGGAGAAATGACCCTTTCAAGCTAATGCAAATTGCTCGCTCCGCAATCCAAACATCTACTCTGACAGCAAGTAGTAGTCGTCGTTAGAGCTTCGGTCCTCCCAGCAGGTGTGTGTCATAAGTCCAGCTTGATCGTAGGGATCGAAACTTAGCCGTCCTTCAATCAGTTGTCTGCCAGATTGACGGGCTCAGGGTCTATCAATTCTTCTGACCAAAAAAATGATCAATTCGTTTCTGCCGCTGATCAAAAGTAGCGCTCCCGACTCCTCCTTTTGCACGCTGAAGATCCGCCAGATGTGCTCGACTATTTACCCCGAGTACCTGCAGGGAATACCCGCCCAGGACCGGCACATCCGGATCTCCCACTGAAGAACTCAATTTCGGACGAACCAACACCTCCAAGTACCCCGTATTCGTCCAGAACGGATTAAAGGCGTTGATGTCTGCGTCCCCTACTATGCGAACATCACTCGGAGGAAAACACGCGAGTAGAGCGCGCCACAGACTCCGTAGAAGTAACCCGTGCGAGACCACAGCAACGACAGCCTCATCCCCAGCCTCTTCGCCAGCGAGAAGCAAGGGGAGTAAGTAGTAAGAGAGAAATGCGTTTGCGCGCTGGCGCATGGAAGCCTCGGATTCCGGCTGCTTGGGAACAGTGCTCGATTCCCAGGTTGAATGCCACATTTGCCCCTCGAAGGAGCCAAAGTCGCGTTCGCGAAGGGATGGCAGGAGCAGCGGACTTAATTCTGGCTGATGGGCGCTGAGGCCTTCGGCCGTGAGAACGGCTCTGGAGAGATCTGACGAGAAGATATGGCTGAATTTGATGTTTTGTGAGGCGAAATATCTCCCCAGACGGGTGATCTGGAGGGCACCGTGATTTGTCAGGGCCGAGTCCTTGATCCCGGCTCTGTTGGCGTTAGTGATTGTAGGACAAGTAGGTGGGGAACTTACAATCTATGAGCGACGTTATCTACTGTTTCCGCATGGCGGATGAGATACAGTTTCATCTTGATGATTATAGCTAAATGAGGATGCTGGGGGAGATGGTTGTTGGATGAATGGAATATTTTCCGGTGGCGGACTTTTGCTGGGGATTGCTCGGGGCAGTGCGTAATCTGAGTCACCCCGGCTTTCCACCTAGTAGTTATCTACTCACGCACACATGATGCTTTTGCCTCTATTTATTGTCTATACATTTCATTCTCAAATAACATGCCACTAGAAACCTAGCCATGGTGGATGCGCAGCTTCAAGATATAAGCCCGCTCTTCAACATTGTTAATGCTAATGTGTTTATTCATGACATCTTTATAGCCCTTGGACTCGCGGGTTCATCGGCAATTCTCCTCATCAGTCCCGACCTATATGATGCCTCACTGGGGACTATACTGCCGTAAATTTAGGTCTCAGTAGAGGTTCTTTTAAAGTGCGGATCAATATTTTGATGCCCCTTTTTCCGTTTATTCTGTGTATATCCGTTTATCATCAGCTACAACAGGCAACTTTTACATGAAGACTTGATCCGGATCAAAGCTCTCATACCCCCTTCATCCTTAGAAGAAAATGAGAGGCGAAACTCATGTCATCTGTGAACACGATGCTCTCTTGGCTTCCAGAGGAGAGCCAGACTGGGAGAACCGATGGAGCCGCTTCGACTGAAATGGATGTCTAATCTTTGGAGTGTCACAAGTAGTAGAATTCTGAGTTGATTCCTTGATAAGTCCATTCGCCAGCTATCCAGAAAAGTGAATGGCAGAAGTGTCAATTCTATCCCTAATTTCCCTTTAAGCCGCTTATCTCTTATCCTTCCCCAACTCGCTCTCTCATACCCTCAGTTTACTCAGAACCCCATGGAGCTACACATTTGTCCTATCCATTGCCGTTATATGCTTTAATGCAGGAAAGCTGGCACTTCAAGAAATGATGCCAAGTCGAGGTATGCTAGCCATTATCATAGCATCCCGTTTACTGAGAACACAGTAGTCTATATACCATAAGGTGCGCCAATAGTCAACTGGCTAAATCGGTATACCAAGCATCATATTCGAAGTAACGTACTTAATACACAACATTGGTAGGTAATATGCCTTCTATTATTATTACTGAGAGTAAGCACACGTGATGGTGCTGCCTAGTCTCCTGCCCATGTTTAAGCTCTGGACTATGCGGTACGACCCTCTCACAAGACAAGCAAACGATTTCTGTTCCTCCTTTCAAATCTAGTCATTGAAGATCCATTTGTTAGCTCTCCAGCAAATTGAATCCATGCCTGCAAACAAGCTCCCCGTTGATCTAACTGCCGAGATATCCAAACTCGCCAAAACCTCTCGGTTGCAAAATGGTCTCCCCGGCTCGATGCGAGCGCTACCCGCCATTGCGCTATTTGCAGGGACAGCTTTGTCCAAGACTACTGGGGCCTCCAACATGGTTGAGAAATGGATGTTAGGGGATGAAGAAGTTCCTCTGCTTGGGAGTCCGACTTCGGGAACCGCGGACAAGAGAGTCGAGGGACAGACGGGAGATGGACAACGCAGCCAGCACGGGGTCTCAGATCAACGGACAAAGAATGGATTGTAGTTGATTATCTTGGACAGAGTACACACACTGGGCTGCATCATCTGCATAACTCATCCACAACACATATTTCTACCTCGATAGAAACAGAGGAGATTAGTCGAAGTTTTTCGGCACCAACTTAGTAGTGTCTCTTCCTATATGCATATCTATAAGAGTCTCTACGGTTGACGATGATGCAAAGCGTGTTTCAACTTGTTCGAAACATGGAGTCATGGACCTACCGAAGGCAATACGCCATACAACAGACCGCCTTAGTGTAATCACTTAGAAAGTGGCTAATTTGATGCTATCCGCTACTACACTTGCCCAGTCATATTCCTTCAACTCGCTTAACCACGGCGCAATGATTGTCAGCGAGAAGTAAAATGAAGCTGTTCGGATCCGTCCCCGCAAAGATCTGCACCCCACCGTATGTCACCCCAAGAAACCCCAAGATGAGCCCGAACTAGGGATTTCAATCAAACCCCACAAGTCCTTGGCATGTAACCCAGTTCAGAGGTTCATATTAAAGGGATCTAAGCTACCCCAGAGCCCGTCTGTACCCCACAGCATCGTATCCCCAAAATAGCCTGAGCTAAAGAAACTTCAACCCCACAAGCCTTCCCATGGATAGACTCTAGTCTATATTAGGAACGTACTTATTCAAGTAGAGATCGGATCCAGCATGAAGGAAATGATACCCTGGGGTAACTTTCTTCAGGAAAATGCGGGGTGCATGTGATATCCCTGTTTATTGTTGATGCTACATTTCCTGGGCATCTGCCCCAATGAGCAGGGAACTATAAATGCATGGTCTTCTCTCGGTCATGACCTTTACGAAGATATGGACTACTCCTCTAATTCAAAGAATAAAGCATCTCTTTCTTCTGCCGAAACAATGCCAAACGTTGCTACTTTCCTAGGGCTGGTTATGTCCGGAGCAGCGAGTGCATCAGCCGCAACGCTGGGTGCATACAATGTAGACCCGAATTCAATTTCCGTCTCTGGGCTCTCCAGTGGAGGCTTCATGGCTGCGCAGCTTGGAGTTGCATACTCTGATACTTTCAAGGTCGGGTTTGGGGTCTTTGCTGGTGGGCCGTATGATTGCGCTCGCGGCCAGTCGGTAAGTCATTTTTCCAAAACCCCAGAAATATTGACTTTCAAGTAACGAATATACTGACGCAAGGCAGTATACTACATGCATGTACAATCAAAACCCATCTATCACAGCCCCCATCGCCAACATGAAGACCTGGAGCGGCAACAAGATCAACTCAGTCAGCAACCTCCAAAACCGTAAGATCTACATGTGGACGGGAACCGCCGACACCACAGTCGGGCCGAACGTAATGAGCCAGTTGAAGGCGCAGCTGGCGAACTTTGACGCTCCATCCAACGTCTCGTACATCACGACCAGCGGCGCGGTGCACACCTTTCCCACCGACTTTGACGCTTCCGGCGACAACTCATGCAGCTCTTCTGTCTCGCCTTATATCAGCAATTGCCAGTATGACGGCGCAGGGGCTGTTMTAAAGTGGATGTATGGGACATTGAATGCAAGAAACACAGGCACGTTGTCGGGATCAATTGTGTCCTTTAGCCAGACAGGCGAGTACGGTGCCAGCGGGATGGATACGACTGGATATCTGTACGTCCCCAAGGCATGCCAGTCTGGGTCCCCGACAATCTGCAAGCTGCATGTCGCCCTGCATGGCTGCCTGCAGAGCTATAGCATGATCGGCAGCGAGTTCATTTCTAATACCGGGTACAACATGTGGGCGGATACCAACAACATTATCATTCTCTACCCGCAAGCAGTGGCGGATAACACCATGCACACAGTCTGGACGGGGATGTCGCTCTCTAACCCGAACGGTTGCTGGGACTGGATTGGCTGGTATGGAGCAAATGCGGACCAGGTCGGAGGTGAGTCTATGAAGGAAACTTACGGAGTTGGACTTGGTCAGACCTGTTACTGACTTACTGGCTCTTCTCAGGCGTGCAAATGGCTGCGATTGTGAACCAAGTGGCCCGGATTGCTAGCGGTTACGGGGCTGGCGGTAGTTCCTCAACCACTACTGCTACTCCCACGACTACCACCGGCTCTAAAACAACTACTACCACCGCGACCACAACCGCTGTTGCCCCATTGTATGGACAGTGCGGTGGACTCGGCTGGACGGGCCCGACGGCTTGTGCGACCGGCGTTTGCACGGCCTATAGCCCTTATTATGCCCAGTGTCTCCTGGTAGTGTAGCCGTTCGAATTGAAAAACGAAAAAGGACGAAGGTGTGCTCTGAGGGAGAGCTCGCTATCTCTGCGTCTAATCTTGTTTTTGTCTGTATATATCTCTAAGGATTGGCCTTCTCTCTTCTTTCTCTGCGTGCACAAGGACTATATACATTCCTGCCACTGAATCTGTCTTGCATATCTTTTACCCCTTCCAAAGAGTAGAATAGAGTAGAACAGGTGCGGCAACGCGCTCAAACCACAGAGACTGAGGAGGTACAGCAAATGCTGTTTCCCCGCTCAAATGCAAGACCTGCAACATATTGTGCAACAAGCCGTGCGGCTCCGCCGTGTAAGGGTCCGTTTGGTGAGCTGCTCAGCCATATTGCTCGTCCCATTCGGGGCCAGATCGGGAGAAGTCCGAGTTATCGAACTCAGGTTCTGCAGCCGGGTCGTATTCTTGTTCCTCCACATGCTCGCCGTAGTTTGCAATGGGCTACCTGCGTTGTGTGCAGGCATAATGGACTTCGGTTTTTCGCCCTGGGTAAGAGCGAGACGCTTCGGGGGGCATTGGAGGTGGATGAGTCAGTCTGTGTTATGGCCATCCTGGATCCACTTGCAGTCCGACCTCATCCAGCCGAATTTATTGAACCGGCTTGTCTCTCATCCATACATGCTCCGCAACCATAGCCAACTCGTCTCCATCTATGATGACGTCCCTCTCCCCCTTCTCCTCCTCTGCAGGTCGAAGGAACAGTTTCTCGAAACCTATCACGAGGGGTCCCCCGATGATACGCACTGGCGCATCATCGCTTCTTTCCTTTGACACAACCACCTTCTGGACCACCTCGGGCACCTTTCTTTCTGGATCTCCTCTCGTCGGGCGGCTGACCAACTCCCACGTCTCCAAAGTGATTCCTTTGCTTTTCCTCCACACCGAGATGGTGAGGACGGTTTCTATTTCCCCGCCGGAAGCATTGAGCCACCAGCGGGCATCGTTGGCTAGCTTGCCATCAGCATCTGAGTAGGCACACTGAAACACTACTGATGGCCAGCGATCGGAGCGGCCGGCCGGGAGCTGCATAGGCAAGTATGACATGTCGGGCGGTTTGATGCGCTCAGGAGTTATAACGTCAGCCCTTCCGAGAGTTCGCAGTTGATCATCGAGACGATTCCTATTCATGGACGCGAGCCGCTTGACTAAAATGGCATTGTTGATCCCCATGCGTGCCTGTTCGGTGGCCCGGGTGGGTGGTCTTTTGGCGACGAGAATTTGCAGCTGAGGGAAATAGTCGCTGTATAAATGATTCTGCTCCCTCGACTCGCAAAAGTCCCGCATAAAGGTTTGCTCACTGATGTTTGAGAAGATCACGTATGGGTGTTTAGATTCTGCTGCGTCTCTGTAGATGATGTCTCGGAAGTGTTGGATGCCCTGGTAGGAATATTCACTGGTTGTGCGGCTCACCCCGAGGTCGCGGCGGCTGATGCTGGGTGTAGTCACTGCCATCTCTGGAAGGAGGGACTTATCATTGCTCCGCAGAAGAGAAGAGGGAAGGCATATACCCCGTCAGCAACTACAACCACTTGACTACGGTGTCTAGATAACCGTGTCTAGTATAGTAGGAATAGTAGGAATAGTAGGAATAGTAGGAATAGTAGGAATAGTAGGAATAGTAGGAATAGTAGGAATAGTAGGAATAGTAGGAATAGTNATAGTAGGAATAGTAGGAATAGTAGGAATAGTAGGAATAGTAGGAATAGTAGGAATAGTAGGAATAGTAGGAATAGTAGGAATAGTAGGAATAGTCATGCAGGCTGTTCAACATACATTTCCATCTACTACCCTCTGAGATGAATCCTCAATATCTTCCTGATGATACCGCTGATTCAGAAATGTACTCTTCATCTTTACCGCATCTAATTACCTCACCATGATGGCATTTGGTTACAATCTCTGTTAAATCCTTAGCTGATGGAACCTCAAATGGCATATATTGTAGAAGACTGGAAGAATGCGCTTCGCAAGCGGATACCTTAACGAAGAATATAGACGGCTATGTATACGGCCACTAAATCTTAACTCCTCCTGGAACCGACTTCGCACGATGAATGTATTTGCATCAGACATAAGAAGATCTCCGGTCCAGCTGGTACATTTGGACAATATGCGCTAGTCTCATTTCCACTAAGCGTGTATAGATAGATAGAGCCTGCCCTCTCTTCCAAGTTGGACCAGTGCGGTACATATTCAGTAGCAGGCATCTATATCGCCTCAGCTCCAAACTGAGGTTCCTCGGCCTGTGATGGATGCGACAGCATTCCTGGTTCAATGTCCGATGGCCCCTGCTTTGGTGAGGTGTGTCTCTGTTGCACGGAGGAGTTCTGGGTTCTGTCACTGCTACATGCTACCCCTCTCGCTGTGCTCGAGACCCTGTGGCTAACGCCTCGGAACCAGCGCATGAGTGGGCGGAGCGTGACGAGACTTCCAGCCGTGATGCCGAGACCGGCCTCGATGTTCGACGAGATAGCGATATTAGTGGTCGCATCTGGAAAAAAGTTATTACATGCTTGTCTGACTCTCATCGTGAAAAACTGACATAGGAAGTCTGGATCTTTATAGTCCGGGAGAAAGGGGATACGGGCTGCGACGGCAGCACCTGCACTAGAAAGCAGTCAGTATAGGAGTCTTCTCTTCGGACTGCCCACATACATGCATCCCATGCCGAGAACGACTCTTAACGCCCATTTAGTCCTCCAGCTCATACGCAGGTCCTTTAGAATATATACAGGAAAGAGTCCAAGGGTGAAGTCGCAAAGACAGGCTACCGCGCTATAGAGGTACGATATGTCCAGTACATACTGGGTGTTAATGCAGTGGCCTCTGCCCGTTCGTTGCCAGAATTCTTTGGCCGGATGGCACTGCAACGTCAGAACAAGCCAGAAGGCGAGGCCGACGGTGGCCGTTAGACCAATTACCATATACATGACGGCTGATTGGCGCCGCTGAACGGTAATACGGAGAAGCAGCATTGCGATGGAGATTCTGGCGAGTGCCACGACCCACACATAGGCGCTCTCGCCTAGCCACCACCACTGTTCATGAAATGTAAGCTATGGGCAATAACCGGCTTTAGGGTACAGCCAGGGCGTACCAGGAGAGCCTTTTGAATATCTTGTTTCGAGTCGAACTGATCAAATCTTCTTCCGATCCCGGCAACTGAGCCAGCCAACCCGCATATTGAAAACCAGATATTGAATAGCTGAGTATGAGTATCAGTTTTTCTGTCCATTGTCGAGGGTTGTATCAGCTCACGTACCATGGCCAATACCATCAAGCCATCATCCCATCCAAAGGCTTTCACGAGTCTCAGTCGGACGAAACACCGCAGAGCAACGGCAGTAAAAGATATACACAAGAACACCAGGGTCACTATGAATAACGAGAGACTGCGACCGTGCAATGCCATTTGAATCAATCAGATATTCGTGCAAGTCAAGTGTCGTTGCATGATAATCACGTGGTATTTGCACAATCAGTCAGAATCCTACAGTCCCAGTAGTGCATGTCCAAGAGACTAAATCTGAATATGGCCGTCACCGACAGAAGAAGTTCGAAATCTTCTCTAGGCTGGGGAGCACAATCACAATCCCAAGACTACCGGACAAATTCCACACCGCGTACACGCTTTGGTTAGGAATGTTGGAGTCTCTAACCTGCTGATGGAGGTTCGAGACTTGGCGATTGGTGGCGGCGGCGAATTCCTTGGATGCCGCTTCAGACCCCATTCCATGGATCTGGAATCATCAGAACGAACAACAATTGGAAGGAATTACTATGCGCCTAATGACCGGGCCTTAAGAGTAAAATATATTATATATTGTAACTGGAACACAACTACAAAGTCTTGTCTTCGCTATCTAGCAGAGCGCCAGAATTTTAAAACTTCAGAATTGGCAGGATTTTGATGTCATACCTCCCATTTAATGTAGAGCAGCTACAGTGCAAGTCAATGCTAAGCATATACATAGTATTTAGCTACAAAACTTATAAGAGAAGGATGATGCTCCACGCAGAAACAGCCTGTACCCCATGGGGTAGATGTGTGTGGATTATTGGTAGACCATCTTGTGCCCCACATGTCTCTCTCACTTTAGCTGGTCATCTTTCAGCTTCATCCCTTGAATACTTAAACTCACCGCAAAGATTCATCTCTTTTAGTCTKGACGGAGAATGTGGAAGAAATTATTTATTCACCTCTACTCCTGCTTCTGATCAACACCAGGTTTTCTAGTGTCTTTCAAAACAACTCTTTTTTAAATCTAAGATGGTCCTTGCATCTAACAACACCTGAGAATGAGCCTACGATCAACAAAACCAGTCTGTCATAATCTTTATCCCTTCTTCCATAGCTAATAATGCCAGCGGCAAAGCAGCTAGCCAAGATTATCTATTCCAATACTCTTCTGGTGTTGGCTAATCAATAAGAAACATCAACTCCAGCAACATTTTATCAGGTCCAATGTCAATCACCTCTGTCATCAAGCTTCCTCCCCCTCAGCAATTCTACAAGATGCATGCGCATTATTAAGCTGGAAGGAAACTCCAACAAAGCTTTTCTTCTCACAATGGATGATGGCAACAAGGTTATCACGAAGATCCCCTATCCGAATGAGGGCAGCCCTCCTGACAACAGCATCTGAGGTGGTGATGTTCATCGCTTCAACATGCCACTTATCCATGCTGCATCTCACGGATTGACTACTAAAGTAGTAATGCAGCTGCTTACATGTAGGGAGTGATTAGACATTAACACATAAACCTACTAGAAGGAATCTGCACTGTCTCTAGTAGTGCATTAGGGAGACCTTGTGGTGAACAGTGTCATTTATAACTGCTGCACAGGCTTTAACAGTATTAACAATCGGGGATGTACTATATTATGGTGGGCGGCCTATGCAGGGAGGACAGCTGTCGTGCAATGGTTGCTGTTAGAAGACCGTATCCTGGTTAACATGAGGGACAACAAAGGGATAGACGCCCTGAATGCTGCAAGTCAACAGTATCATTTTAACTTATCACTCTTACAGGCCCACCGGCCTGGGAATCATTAGGATAGCAATGGCTCTCCCTATCCCACTCCCAGGAATTGGTAGTGTTACTTCCGGCTGGTCCATGGGCTATTCTGTTTTGTACACGGCATATGTTTTTCAGTGTGTATTAAGTGCCAGGGAAAGTCTTGTTCGGCCCAGTTCTCAGGTGTAGAGTTTTGAAACAATTGGGTTGTTTTTCAGTTGTTATGAATCCAGTATCTGAGCTAAGGCGAGCCTTACTCGCATAGCATGGAGATTGGTTGGAGAGCATAAGCCTCGCAATTCAATATCAGGACATGAGGACAGAAAGGCAGCTTTACACGGTAACCCTATGGTGTCACCGATAAATGTGTCATAGTGAAATACTATGCCTGTAGGAGGATTGGGCAGCCTTCTAGCCTTAGATGATATAGGCATATAGTTTTGTAACTTATAAAATAATGTGTGACTTTGCCAGAGCTCTGGGGACTACATATAAATATGCTTAACATAGGCCAATATTGTAGAGGATGCAAAGATTATCTTAAACAAGCCGCCCTATCAGATGTAATAGCATCTTGTTAAGTCTTACTACAGACTGAATTAGGTAGCTATCAGAGAGTTATTAGAGGTTGTGTTATACGCAAATATATGGGTTATCATAATAGGTGCAAGTAGGTCTTCCCTAAGCTCCTATGCCCTTTCAGTCAGGTCAAGAAAGACTTTAATGATACCTTAGAATTTCACACCGCAATTCCTTCCCTGGCCTTGAAAATCATGAATTCCCATCAAAGCAGGACCGCAGATCTATATATTCATTTCAAGTTATTAGCAACAACTACAGTATATTTATCAGCATCAATTAGACCTTACATGTGAGGACCATAGCCATCAACAGATCTCAGTAGAAACGGGGGACGGCTCGTCTCGTGGAGCGGACTGTTGGTGGTCTAGTCAGGTGACTATATTACATTGAATCACATGATCTACAAACCTCATTCCCTCCCCCTCTCCAGTGTAGTTGTTTTCCGTCAAATAAACTCTTGTCATTAAGATTAGACCTGGCACATCACATTAAATATCTTGTATGCACCCAACTCTTCCTCCAAACTACTTATACAGAACCTCTAAATTAAAAGTCCGTTCTTAGCCTTTTACTCAGGGAAAGAAAAATTATGACCTTCCGTCAAACAGAGTTCACCAACCCACCTCCTCCTCCACCACCAGGAACAGCAATAGGCTCGCCCTTCGTAAAACCATGGTACTCCGTGGGCCCTGGACGCTGGGCACTGATGCTAAACGGCTCAGGCGAGCACAAATCCGCGCTGCAATGGTGGGAACCGAACACCACTACGGACCCTAGCCAAATAATCACGCATACCTTCACCGAGGAAGTGTGTTTTCTCCAGGGTGGACTGCAGGATCTGAGGCTGGGTCAGTCGTGGGGTGTTGGTGCGTATGCCTATCGCAAGCCTGGAATGGAGCATGGACCTTATAGGGCATCAGCAGAGGGGTGTTTAATGTTTGTGAAGGTTTTCCCTCCTTGCACTGAGTGAGGTTGGTTTAAGGATTAAGGGGAGGAGGTAATTATGGGGTAAGTTTGCGTGTATGTATGTGCGTGTATGTATGAGTGAGTGAGAGGGAGTGAAATGGGAAAGACAACTGGAGTCATGTCTTTATGCTAATTAGGGTTTACCTAGGTACATGGTAGCCTAAATGCATCGAGCTTATAAAACCCAAGAAAAAAGTACAACATATATATATCCTAGATGTAAGTGGAGCAATTTAATGTCCCGTATGAAGTTCGCATGAAAAAAGAGCCCCTGAGGTCCTCGAATGTTGCTTACTACCCGGGTATCAGAGTGGGGGAAGGGCGGATTACTAATGATGTGCATTCACGCTCTATGTAACTGGGAGTGGAGGCATACGAGTGAGTCTGTTCCTACAGATAAGGCCTTTCAGGTCGACAAGTCTCATCATCGTCAAACAGAGCGTAGGTCATTTCCCCGAGGCAGAAGATACCACTAAGCTTGATGAGCAGGGTCATGAGTAGTATGTTAGTTAAGAAAGGTACTATTAGTCACAGTTTGTACTCTCTAGGTTCCGAGTAAGTCCCAGGTTGTCACTTGGACACGGGAGTGGCAGGGGAAGTGACCAGCTTTGCCAATTCCTCCAAGCCACCTCCAGCTATACCTGTTGCATCAGGATTCGAGAAACAATTGAGTGTAGGTGGGGACACCAATCTCAAGACGTATTGTACTGCCTTCAATTAAATGTGGCTTGTTCAATAACCTATCCACGCTAAGGCCGTGGCGGTGGGGCCAGAAAGAGTGACTCTGTGTTTTGGTCAAGCCAATTTCGAGAATCACTGTAAAATACTAACTGGGCTATTGCAGAATAGGACTAAGTGAGGTCGGCCTAGGGCAGGCGGCGCAGGAAGTCGGTATGGCCCGACAGTCTAGGCTGAGACACAGTCCCTTAAGCGACGCTTAACTACCAACCATTGAGGGCCAGTAAGGGCCGCAAGGGCCGTCAGCACATAAAAAAGAACGATGGTCTAGGGCTATGTAGTTATGTACTTATATTAAACCAGTAGCGGCCTCTTTGGTACAACTCTGACTCAGAACTTCGGCCCTGCTTCTTCCCCTTCAACTTTCTTCAATTATTTTCCTCAGTCAAACATCATGTCATCTGTTAGCAGTGTTCTCATACGTCGGGGCACCGAGTTGATTTCCGCTCGGCTTCGAGAGCGTGGACAGTCTCCAATGGATGCATTGCTAGGCCTCTCACTTGCCATTTTGCCGGTCGTTGCATTTGGTTTCGCAATCTTTTGGGTGAGTCGGTATTAGTATTAGGCACAACAACTAGCTAAACTCATCGATAGGTTGACTACACCTGCGCCCATGTTATTGCGACTCTGGCCGCGGTCGAAGATTCCAACCCGAAGACCTATGTTCGCCTCGACAGCGAAGACCCTAACGATTCCGTCGACCCTAATGATCCCGAGGTCGCAGCTGCATCAACCACTAAGCCTATCACTAGCGGGCTACGCTCGGCCACTAAGCACCTACGCGCCCGTGGTGGTATCTGGTCGTGCTTCCGTGGATTTCGTATGTATCTGGCCTTCACGGGGTTCGCCAATCTGGGCGGGGGTCTGCTAATTCAAACTATTGTTGTTACTCCGAACCGTTCTGTCTCCGTTTCATTTTTCAGTTCCTTTTTTGCACAATTCATCGGAAGCATGCTCTTGGCCACCTGGCAGATGGCTTGGGTTCATCGTGTGATCGCCGACAAATCTCCTAGGAGCTCCTACCGGCGAATGCTTGGCCTCCGGCATTGGCCTAGAATTGCCCCTGCGGCTGCTTTGTACAATTTCCTAAGGTGTGCGGCTCTCTCTCTGCCTATAGCTGCTGTAGGGCCCGCTGGCGCTGGCTGGACCGCCATGGCCGTTGTCGCCGAGCAGGGATATAAAGGGCTTCTCCGTTTCCTAGCCATTAATGTTCTCCCGGCTGCATTTCTCCTACCGGCTTCTATTCCCGCCAGGGGAATTTTCATCCGTGTGGCTGCGTCTATGCTGCCCGAGGAGGATGATCCGATCGTGCCCTTCGACCGCCTTTTTGGCGGCAAGGTGAAACCCGAAATTGTGGGTGGTAGTGGCAAGCTCGGCCTTAGAGATGCCTGGACCACCTTTGACTGGCCTGCTCGCACACGCTTTGTTAAGGTCATCCTGAAAGCTCTTGCCATTGAGGTTACACTAGGTGTGCTTGGGATACTTCTAATAGCGCGCTGGAGCTGGCTGTTGGCTCTGATCCACTCTTAGTTCTCTGAAGTTTTGTATGCTTTCTTTTGTTCTCGAGGTCTGCATCGAGATCCCAGTTTGCCGGACAGTTTGAGGAATTTGACCTCAAGCACAAGGACCGAGCTATTAAGGAGAAGAGACTGGCCACCCAGTCGATACTATGAAAGGTCTTGCCTTGCATACAACAAACATATGCATAAGGAAATGAAGCTTGACCGGAGACTATGGGGGCCGCTTACCTTTTGCCAGCTTTCTTAAACGGCAGTATGGTCCTATTAGAGAACTGTCTGGTACGCATTTCACAGTATTGGGCCGGGACTTCCAAGAAGCTGTCCCTTTCCATTTTCTGAGGTGTTGAACATGCACGAGGAACAAGTAGCGAAATATCAGGATATGCTTTACTTGCACGACATTGTGAAGACTCCGCTCTGCACTGATGGCATGTGTTGGGTCCCTATGAACAATGGGAGGAATCCAACAAGATGAATAGATATCTTCTGACATGTATATCGAGACTATGAGTGAAGAGCTATCACCAGATGCAGCTGCATAGACATGGCCCTTTCCACCAGGCTCTTGCATCGACAAGTCCTAAACTCTTCTTTAATTGTTCAATGAGACCAGCTAGCTCGGATACGAGCTCGCCTATGTAGACGAGCATGCGAGATTCTCAGACTCAGAAAGCAGCCGCCACTTCCTACTAAACCACGGCGCAATTGTCCAGGCACGCATATCCCACGGTTGCAGCCCTCTGGCAGACTCAGACGAGCATACGATCCCACCCCTCTCGACGATATCTCGTTTAAACTCGACCGCGTCGAGGAGGGATGGCGCGGTTGCAGAAAAGGTAATTGCTTTTGCTCGCAGCGCCGGCAGCGGCAGGAGATCAAGGAGCGGGTGATGCGGGAAGAGAATCTGGGGGAGAGTCGGGCGGAGGTGGATTGGGATGGCTGGGCGAGTAACTGTAGCTAGGAGTAATGACGGATCGGCCGACATGGCGGTGTAGGGACGGTAGAAAGGCGAGCACAGGGACATGCAATTGTAGCTGGAGAATTGGTCGATGCTGATCCCGAGGGCTGCGGCGTTGTAGACGCAGGCTGTGAGGAGGAGGGTGTATGTGTTGAATAGGGGTGGTGGAATCTCCGGTACTTCGTCTCTGACGTTCTCTTCCTCGTCGCGATTGCTAGATGGATTACGCGGAGGAAAGAAATGATCTACTGTCAGCATCGCTGGCATGGTTTTCCTAGCTACGTCCAGACTTTTCGCCGTCGTGCCTTTCGGCGCAGTCGCGGGTCTCAACTCCCGTTTCGAAGCAGCCTGTCCCTGCTTTTCGGCAAGAATCTCTCTCCGTCGTTGTCCTGTTCATGTCAGCACGCTGCATAGCACACGGACAATTACATTAACGGAGAACCCACGGTAAGCCCGCTGCGCGCGACGATTCTGGTCCCGTCGGGCGGGAGTGATGATCCTCTTGGACTTGGACTGTCCGTCGGACTTTCGGGTAGATTGCATTTTGATGGCATTATCATCTATTCCATCCCCTGTATGCTCTGCAGTCGCGTTAGGAGTAGTAGTGAGGATGGGTGGTGGGGAGCCGGGAGGATAATCCACCGATGGCTTACGCCAGTTGACCAATCGGAGTACACCATTGGATAACCGAATAGCATCATACTCTCCGCGTCAGCCACCCAGTATAAGCCAGTAGCCAGTTCAACAGTTCCGAGCTTATAAGCCAGGCAGCCAGTTCAAAGATAGTTCCAAGATTATAAATAAGTACAGTCCACTCCTCAGCGTCTCATCATCATCATCATCATCAACCAATCCACACAATCAATATGTCCACAAACAAAAAAATCATCGTCATCACCGGCGCAACAGGAATCCAAGGCTCCGCCGTCGCAAACACCTTCCTGCCCCTCCCAACCTGGCATGTCCGCGTCATAACCCGCACGCCCTCGTCCCCCGCCGCGCGCGCCCTCGCCGCCGCCGGCGCAGAAGTTGTACAAGCTGATCTCTCCGACCTCGATTCCCTCCGCCGCGCCTTCAAAGACGCAACAGCCCTCTTCCTTAACACCGACTTCTGGGGGCCTTACCGCGCTACACGGGACACCGCGCTCGCATACGAAACGGAGATCATGCACGGGCGGAACGCGGCCATCGCTGCCGGGGAGGTGTCCTCCTTACAGAGACTGGTGTATTCTACGCTCCCTGGGATGAAGGAGCTATCTGGGGGGAAGTACGCGCATGCGCACCACTGCGACACGAAGGCGGAGATAGTAAAGATTCTGCAGGGAGAGCCGGGTTTAAGCGGGAAGGTGTCGTTTTTGGTGTTGGGGGCTTATGCGACGAATGCGCTTTTTTTGCCAAGGGTGGTTGCGGCTGGCGAGGGGAAGAGGGTGTTACGGTTCACTATTCCTGGGAAGAAGACGCTACGGGTGCCGATTATTGCGGCGGAGAGTTCGACGGGGGAGTTTGTTAGGGCGATGATTGAAAGTGAGAGTGGGAAGTGGGTGTTGGGGTGTGATAGCTACCTGTCCATGGGGGAGGTGGTGGATGTGTGGAAGAGGGTGACTGGGTGGGAGGCTGAGGTCGAGGAGCTGGAGGTGCGGGAGATGCATGAGCGGTTTAAGATTCCGTGGGAGGTTCTGGATGCGCCGCAGTTTATGGCCGAGTTTGGGTATACGGGCTCGCTCGAGGTGATGATGCCTAAGCAGCTGGGGATACGGACAAAGTCGTTTGAGGAGTGGCTGGCGGGCAGGAACTGGGAGGAAATGATCATGAAAGCGCAAAAGGAGCTAGCTGATATATAACCTTAGTCGCATAATTTACATCATTTGTCAGACTTTGGTCTGGGTTCCGGTTCCAACTCCAATCCCTGCGCGAGAATCAGCTGCGCAATCGCATCCGCCGTCTGTAGGTACGTCCGACTGCCCTGTATAAACCAGAACCCGACAGCCACCACGAGCATCACCCCAAACACCGCAATCGCGTAGTTCATATCCCCTGGCGCTGGGTTGGGGGAGCCAGGGAAGAAGAAGAAGACGGTCGTGATGACACAATATACGATGCTGATCCAGTTGGCTGCTGTTCCCCAGCGGCCGAGGCGAAAGGAACCAGGCGGCAGCTGGTCCCGGCCCGCGAAGAGCAGCGCCGCAATCGGCAGGGCGTACGAAATGGTCAAAGCAATGGTGCTGACGCTGAGGATCGCCTGCAGCACGGTGCTGGCAAAGAGGTAGAGCACGCCCACAAGCGCGATCAACACCCCCTGCGCCCAGAGCGCGCGCACAGGAGCTTTCCACGCGGGATCCACCACCATCAGGTACCGACTCCAGGGGAGACCGCCATCGCGGGCAAACCCCCAGGTCAGTCGCGATGCAGTCGTCAGGATACTGATGCCCTGGCCGACGCCATTGAAAATGAACAGCGCGATCAGAGTAGCGCCGCCCTTGAGCCCGACCGTCTCGAGCATCAGCTCGATGAACGGCAGTCCGCTGGGCGAGTCAAGGACCTTGTCCACATCCTGCATGCAGAACAGACAGACAACCATAAAGATGAACCCGGTGACGGCGCCCGACAGCACCGCCAGATACGTCACCCTTGGCGCGTTGATCCTCGGCGCCGGCATCTCCTCGACCATGTGGATGACCGCGTCGAAGGCAGTAAGCCCATACGCGGCCTGCACCAGCCCAGTAAACCACACCACGCCATCGCTCCACCCTGTCTGGTTGATCCACGCCCCGAACACAAACCGACCCGGCTGAAACGACAGGTCGGCCTTGGTCCCGACGGAAATCAACAGCGCAAGCGACAGCACCACAAACAACCCGGTGAACCACACGCCAACAAACCCATTCAACCACGGCAGGATCTTCTCCCGTCGACACCCCACCACATTCACCACCGTCAGAACCAGTACCAGCCCGAGATAAATCACAAACTGCAGCCAGCCCTCCCCCGCACCACTCCAACTATCATCAAACATGACCTTCATCCCGAGCAGAAACTCCGTCATAAACGCAATCTGCGACGCCGTGAGCGTCCACCAGCCGAACGTGTTGATCCACGCACACAGGTACGACACGAACCGCCCCGTCGGCGTAGGCCACAACCTGTATACCCAGTACGCTTGCCCCAGCGCAGTAGGCATGCTACTCGTCAACTCGCCCAGCGACACGGCAACGCAGAGATTACACGCCGTCACCAGGACCAGACCCCAGAGGATGGTGATGGGGCCGCCGTTGCTGAGTCCGCTGCTGAGATCTTGCGCGAAAGTGGAGTACGTTCCTACTCAGCATTAGCATCATCGTCCACTTACGAAGGGCCGAGGGAGAGAGGAAATACCTAATACGCAAAACGCCAGCGCGAGCATACTCCACAAATCGAATTTGCGGGTCAGGGCCTGGTCATGCCCCATTGCGGCGAGATCGCGCGCATCCTGCACGCTCTGGTCGACCGAAGCCGAATCAGCCAGTTTGATGTTTTCCACGTCCATCAACAGCAGTTATATCACGTATGGGATGGAATTGTGAGGTGAGGAGAATATCAGACATCCATTCTGTTGCGGTGCAGGTCTTGCACGTCATATATGTCCCGGCACAGACACTGACACTTACACTTCCCCTCACGAGGGATCCGGCATATCAAACGTAAAGATAGAAGATACAGCCTAGATACTGACTCTAGATCATTGGTGATGATATTGATAACTGGCGCGCGAGTGATTTGTCGGCGGCGCAAACCCGCAGTGCGCACAGACTAGACTTTCCACTTTGCGGGGTTAACCTTCTTCTCGGCTGGACCTCCTGACTGCGGTTGGTGCTTGGTACGTCAGTAATATCCACCACGGCTGATAGGAGCTGAGATATCTCAGGAACGTTTTCCTAGGTTGTATCGGAGAAGATAGGAGTATCCTGAAAAGGAAAGTCGATGCGAGTCTAAGACTCTCACCCGGCGAGCGTTCGCGATCTGCATCCCCATCGATTCCGTACCTTACGCTCCAATGGTTCGAAGATGAGACATTTGTTTCGCGGCACTGATGAAAGCAAATGCGGGGTAAACGTTCATTAGGCATATATATAAAGTATACTCTCCCAGTCATTAAATCAATTCATCCTCACAACAGAACAGCACCCAAAGCAACCATCCCAGCCAGAAGGGGCGCTCCCGCACCCACGCCAGAATCCCCGCCATTCGGCGACGGCGAAGCCTGCGAGAACACCGCAGTCGTCGTCGGACTATGAGTGCTACTACTAGACGTGGTCCCGGCGTCGGTTACACTCGTGCTTGACGTCGAGACGCGATGAGAATGCGAACTACTTTTCGTCTGAGTCTCAGTCTGCTGGCTCGACGTAGTTGCGGTCGCAGTCGGCGTCGCCGAAATCGCAGTAAACATCTGCTCCGTCGTGGTAGTAGCCGTAGCAGTTATCGCACCAGTCTGTCCGCCGAGTGTAACAGTCGAGTAAGGCGAGTGGACCGTGACTCTTGTCGCCTCGCCAGTGCAGCCCCTGCGACCATCAGCACTCGCACATTGATATCCAGGAAAGAAGGGACGTACCCGAGGAAATTCCCACAACACCCGACAAACACATTCCCGTGGAACTGGCACCGTTCTGCGATTCCGCAGCCCACTTGGAGTTATCCCTCGTTAGTCTAGAGGAATGGGAAAAGGAAGGGGCTGCTTACGGCCGCCGTTATCGTACGCGCAGCAGTTCAAGGCGCATCCGTCGCCGCAGCATGTCCCCAGAAGACACTGGCCGCCGCCTGCGCAGCTTGCGCGTTTCTCGAGGGATTCATCCTGCAATGCGTGACGCGCGTAGAGAATCGGCGGGCTGACGTTCGTGGCTACCGCCAGCTGGAGGATTGCGGTGACGGTGACGGCGACAAGTGAGAGGAGCATTTTGAATGCAGTCTTCGGATTTTCCGCAATTGAAGAGTTTTAGGGAACGGAGAGTGCTTTATGTGACAGGGGTATGGCTGCTGTGCTGTGTTGGACGGGAAAACCTCGTATTCCTGCTTGGCGGCTTCGAAGTTTAATTAGCACGGGGTTGTGGGATTGGATATTTCTCTGCGATACGAGGTCGGGCGTCGATCGTCTACACCCCACTGACTCGCTTCGCTTGCGTGTTTTCAGCCTCATTGCCATGAACTCAGGCTGTGACCTATCGTTTGCTCTACAGAGTATACAACTTCGATATCATAAGTGCAATGAAAGTGATTTATATTTGTATTTCTCCGACAAAATGCCGGACTATCTCCGCATAGCAAGAGACAGGAGCTTGCCAAAGTCAGGAGTGCCTAGTCCAGTGACCGGGTCCCAGCCTTCGGTGGCATTCCAGCTGGCATATGGCACCACGGGACTGCCATTGGGAGTACCTCCGAATCGGTTGCGACCATCGCAGCCCTTGCTGCCTCCGTTGACGATATCGTTGAATCCCTTGCTGGCCTTGCTATACAGCCAGGGGTTGAGGAAACCCATGACGGGCTTGCGAGCGCGCAGACGGGCATCGTTCAGCAAAGCAACGATAGCGCTGAAGGTGGGAGCCGAGCAAGAGGTTCCGTCAAACTCGTGCAGCGCCCCCTTGTCAAACACGGCGTAGTTCACGGCCTGAGCAGCCACATCGGGGAAGGCACGGCCCTTGGGGTTGTACAGGTCCTTGTAGCGAGGGCCAAGCTTCTTGAGATAGCGCTGGACCGCCGAATCCTGGTAGGAAGGACGCTCCCACAGGTCGGAGAAACCGCCGGACGAAAAGTACACGGCCTCCTCGGGCTGCGTCTTGGTTGTGCCACCCACCGAAGTCACCCATGGGCAGGCCGCAGGGAACTGGGGAGGGAAGTGGGTGCGGTTGGTGCCGTCGTTGGTCAAGCAAGCCGCTCCAACACCGGAGTCGCCGGACGAAAAAATGACCGAAACGCCGCGGCTGCCGAGCTGAGCGTACAGGTTGCAGACCGAGCGAGCGTATTTTTCAGGAATGGTCTAACAGGGTTAGTTTAGTATTAGACTGTGGAAAAGCTGACATACCTGCTCGTCCTCGCCATAGGAGGTGGAAATGACCTGAGGAAGCTGGTCCTGGTCCATCTTCAACACATTCTGCAGGAATTCCAGATAAGGCTCGTTGCTGTTGTCGTTGGGGTCGGGCTGGCTCAGGTCCGGGACGAGAAGACCCCGGCCACCGGTGCTGAACTCGGTGACAGGAATGGGGGAGCTGACACCAACGATGTACTGCAGGTCGAGATTGGCCTCACCACTGTCATTGGCGGAGTTCTGGTCGTTCAGACCGCCGTTGTACTGGATGACGCTAAAGTTCTGCCCAATGGCCCACGGGGCCAGCTTCTCCTCGAACTTGGCCAGATCGTCGTAGCGGGCGTATTCCTCCAGGAAACTGGCAAAAGCGACCTTGCTGCCCCGTTTGGGGTCGGCCTTGTAGTCGCCGATGTTGTACAGATCCTTGAGGCATTGAGGGGTAATGACCTTATCGCAGGTGGAGCTGTTGCCGGCTTGGATGGCCGCGGACAGGATGTCCGCATCCACCTGCCCGGGCCGACCGCGCATGGTCGCCCGGTTGGGCTTGATCTGTCCGAAACGCGTGGTGGGCTGGACCATATGAACGTGCGACACAACCGACTGGGGGAGCGAGTATGCCAGGGTTCTCAGACGCTCAATGTGGCCCACCTCGTTCACGTACCACTTGAAGTCGGCATCGAGCAGGTCATTGGCGACGCCAACGGTTGTGCGGAAGTTGATCCAGTCTGCATCCTCCTCAATATCCGTAACTCCAGCGGACTCCAGCCAGCCACGGACAGACTCGACAGCCTCCTGGGTGGGCAGCAGCATCCGCTTCATCTCGTCGTGAGTTTGAAAGTGTTTGCCGTAGTTTGCGTGGTACGGATCGGACATTTCGAGGAGGGCGGTCTCGAAACCTTCGACGTCCTGTTGCTGCAGGGCGATCTGCAGGCGAATGGGATCGCTGTCGCTTGGGGTGTGGGAGTATTTCCATCCTGTTTTGTCAGTCTCGTTTCCTCTTAGGTAGTGATACGGGGAACAAACCCTGTGGCACAGCGGACAGCTTCTCAAAAACCTCGGCAGCAACCGTAGAGGACAGGAGAGAAACAACCGCGAGCACAGCTCCACGGCTTAAGAGCGACGAAAACATGTCGCCGCCAGTCAATGGACAGATAGAGGAGAATGGATGGGGAAGTGAGGGTGAAGAGCGTTAGTGAGGACTGAGGAGGTGGTAGGATATTTATAACAGTGGCCGATCACTGATCGACTGCATCTCATCATCTGCAAGCTGAATATCTGTTCCTACAGAGGACAGCGACGGTGGACAGCTCCATGGAGAGAGCCTGAACGAATCGGAGGACCGACGGGGTCCTGCTGGAAACAGGACCTGATCGCCTTTCGATTGGATCTTCCCTGGCGGGAATTCCGGTGGTCCTGCAGAAGAGTTACATGGCGCGAGGGGGCGGTCTTGGTGTCTTGGAAGCTGGCTTATCAGGGAGGGGATCGTCAGGAGAGCTCCACCTGGGGACAGACTCATTTCGGCTAGGACTGGTCCTAGAGATTGAATACGCAGTGTAGATAGATAGCAGACAATAAGCATGAAGCATGTGCGGGGTTGCCATGTATGACTTTTCAAGTACTAAATTGATGAAGATAAACGAAGGAATTGCGTGATGTGGAAGTAGTCTGCCCGATTCTAATGGCCATTGTTTGTTGATCCTTGATGAAACCTTGAGAATTCGCCAAGACGGATCGCCCATTGGGGAATGGCCACATGAGTCAGGCTGCCAGGCACACCAATCCCTTCTTCGTACACAAACAGCCAAATCAATTATTGAACTGTCAACAGCTATTATTGCTGTTATGAGGAATACAATCCTTACTTTGCAGAACGCACGCAGCTCGTATCTACCTCGGTCCACGGTCAAACAGGAACTGAACTCATAATTACTCCGCCCACAGTTGCATGGTTGGCAAGGTCCGTACCGCCAAATGCAGCATAGAGATGGAGTAGGTAGTATCCATTATCCAACACGAACAGCTAAACATCGCTGATAAGACAATTCTGATAAGGACAAGATTGATGAATATGCCTATCATTGGTCTGGTCTTCGCAATTGCCAATATCCCGCCCTAAGCTTGGTCGCTACAAGCATGAGTGGTTGAGGCTTGCTATGGCTTGCTGTAGCTTGCCTCCGCTAGACAAGGTACTATATAAACGAGCTTGGCATTAGACAATGGCATCCCCATTCTTTCGCTTGGGTATTCTTATGCTTTTCGGACTCTTGCTCCTTTCTTGGCAACCAAGTAGTATCACATGAACTTGGCGGAATCAGCTTCTAACAGTTGTATGTAGTCCGCAGTAGCATAATCGGGAACAAATCTATATCTCCGAGTCAATAGCAAAGAATGCACATGTGATATTGCTGGCTTGCATATTGCGTGCTCTGGAATTTAGAATGGACTCCGGACCAGACATAACACGTGTATCTGTACCCCAGAAATCCGAACCAAGGTTGTGTTCAACTCTCTTATCTCCCCTGGACCCAGATAATCATACTGATGATCAATCATGGCGGATAAGATCACCGACAGTCTCAAGCGTCGAATCTTGTCCATAGTGTTAATGGCCACTCAGCAAGGCTACATTGGAGTGCATAACCATGACATTCTCTCGTGCTCATACCACTTTTATGTATAGAACGCTGTACGTAAAAACCTACTTTTGCAGTACAAACTTTGTCTTGCTCGGTCTGCATCAGTGTCAGGAATAGACAAAAGGACTGACTAGTCCTCAACATAATCCGGACGAAAGTGATGTATCACAAATAGCCAGAATTTTTTGGTTTGACCATGACACCATCGATGTCTTCATCACTTGGCTGAGGCTGAGGCTTGAAGATTGCGTCTTCGTGTGGCTCAGACTACGTCTACCCAGGAAAGTCAGCATGGTGCTCGGTATGTGCCATTAGTCACTCATGAAGCTGTCACCTCTGTGTAGTATCCTTATTCTACGAAGTCCGATATCGCGATGCTTATCTGATGACAAGATACTCATTGTAGCGGCAAATGGACAGCTCCAGCACTGGACCCGCCCGGCTGGCACATACCCCGGTTACCGGGATATCCTCAGCCAGATCAGACACAACAGGCATACCTTATCGTCTATAATACAGTAACAAATGCACAGCCACACACTCAGCATCTACTCGTACCTAGATCGATCCTATCCTCGTGAGCAGTTGCCCGCCAGGTCATGGCTTGGCCACCCCCGCATCCGCTCAGTATGACGCACGTCACGCACATCCAACCAGTCCACAGTCCACATCAATTCATCAACAGGAAACAGATACCATACTTCATTCTCCCTGAAGAGTACCTAGATGTAGATCATGATGTAATTATTCCTCAATGCTGATGCGTATATAAAGATAAAGTACCTCATCCATACCCCGGCCATCGTCACATCATCTATCCGTCTAGACTATCTCTGTACAACCACATACAGAAACAAGAAGAAAGATACAATGGATCTCCTCCAGAAATACGGACATCTCAAACACGACCGCAGAAAGTCCCTAGCTCAGAAAGAGGAAGCTGAGCAGCGGCGTCATCAGGCTCAGCAGGGTATGTTCATTCCTTGTGTGTGTGTGCATTATGCATGGAGATGCTAACGATGTCGCTGTGTAGAGTTCAACGAGCTACTCGGGAATTTCGGGCAGTCGCATAACGATCATCCTGATCGGAGGAGTAGTGGTGCCGGGAATATGGCGAGGGATATTGAAGAGTTTCAGAGGTTTGTCTCCTAAGTCCTAACTTGGGGTCATGGGGATAGAGCTAATGTGGTATAGGAGACTGTCGAATGGGGAGAGTTTGGACAAGAGGGAGTGATTTCGTGTTTTGAAACTTGAATTGACTTGTATATGAAATTCTTGATTTCTTGATGGAAATACTTTAATTGATTTACCTTGGGTGTTTGGTACTTTGTATCAGCCTGTGCTGCACACCACCAACCTACATTATTTGTAACAAAAATGGAAAGCTGTGAAGACCCCTCATGAGACATTATTTTGCCCCTTCTACCATCAAATGGGGTGATAGCTCAGCTGGGAGTAGCGTACGACTGAAGTACTCAGTCACTAAATCGTAAGGTCGCCGGTTCAATCCCGGCTCACCCCAAATTTCTTTTTTCTTTTTGCATTTTTATTTATTTGCGATAATATATATATTGTATCAACTGAAGTAATTTATTAACTAAATCCTATGCTACATGCTAGTAGAAGAAGTGAAGAATAACAATGTCCTGCACAAACGATCAGTAGACTGGAACCTTAAAGGCAGGGAAGGTGTAGGTCCAGCTCTCGATCGACTTCTCGTCGGTGACACAGTCGAAGGTCGAATTGCTCTTCCACAGAGGACGGGTAGGCCACTGGCAGAGCATCTGGGTTTCGCCGGCGTAGTCACCAGAGGACACTGTGGTGTTCAGCCGGCTCGGCTGCACTCCGTTCTCCACCCAGTTGATCATGATCTCCATGTTGTTCTCCGGGTAAGGTCCGGGCTGGAGAGAGTTGGTACCGCAGTGAGCCGCACCAGGAATAAGATAGAATTGGTACCACTCCTGGAGATCCTTCAGACTCTCCGAGGCCGACACACCGGAGTACATGGTCGAGCGCACAGACTGCCAGTAGTGCACGGACGACGCTGAGGGGATACTGGGGTCGGATTCACCGTGGTAGTGCAGCAGCTTGCCGCCCGAGGACTTGAAAGTGGTAAGGTCCGGGACGATGGTCTGCAGGCTGTCCAGGTAACGCCACATGGCGGTGTCCATCCATTCGACAAGGGTGTCGTACGTGACATTGTCCAGGGTGGACAGGTTGTCGAGATCCAGAAGCTGGACGAACTTGGTCACGAATTCGCCACCGGTGGACGGGATGCTAAGTTCCCAGGAGCCGGTGTCGTTGTTCCACTCGGTGGTCGCATCGGAGAATTCCGAGGCAATCTGCCAGGAGAGGTACCCGCGCTCGCCCTGGGTGTTGTGCAGACCGTCGTAAATGGCCTTGGCGACAGCTACGCCCTCCTTGGTGACGGTGCCGTTCTGTGCAGGCTGGTAGCTGGTCGTGCTGCCGGGTGCCTGGCGCTTGCTGAAGCCGAAGCCGAGCGAGGTGCTTGTCACCGCCGCACAGTAGTACGGCTCACCGACGATCTTCGAAAGATCAAAGTGCAGCTTGCAGAGATCGGTCCGGGACACAACGCCGTCAGTGCGGCCGTCGAGAGCATCGCAGGCCTCGATGGTAGCGTTGACGATCTTCGCCAGTTCACAAGGGGGAGGGTAGTAGTCCAGGGTTTTCTCGACAACCGAGGGAAAGACGTGGTTGACCTGCTGCTGGGCGTAGCGGAAAGCTGGGGCACCAGTGATGGCGCCGTCGTACAGATCGCCGTAGCGCTGAACCTGGCTCATTCCTTCACGTCMACCGTCGGAACATCCTTCGTAGTAGGTGTAGACCTTGGCATCGCTGGACAGGCCGTAGAAGTTTCTGGTCAATGTCTTCCCGAGAGTGGTCATTTCACCCAGGGCCTGGTAGGCGAACATGTACGTGGCGTCCCAGTTGATCGATCCGTTGCCGTAGAGAACCACCTCGTCGTAACTGTAGCTAAAGGCGTCGTAACCCGCATCGGTGGCACCAGACGCCGCCCCGTACTCCAGACCGCCAGTGGCATCGGAGGAGAGGGAGTAGCCACCACCGCCGGCAACGTAGAACCGGTTCTTGAAGTCGGACGGCTGGGGGAAGGCATACTTGACAACCACCTTGTCGCCTTTACCAGGGTGAGTGTAGGAGACCGTCACATTGCAGTAGGGGTAGTTGGCACTGCTGGAGCCACCCATGCCACCCATGCCGCCGCTAGAGGTAGAGTTGTAGACCGCACTCGCAGTCACGGCGGAAGGAATCAGGTTGATACCGAGAAGAGTTCCGTTCGAAGGAAGGACAGACTGCACGTGCGAGACAGTGCAGACGTCGGCGAGAGATGCAGCGTTGGCTGCCGCTGCCAGAGCAGCAACAGCTGCGCCGTGGAAGGTACGCATGACGAATGTCAAAGAGTGACAGGAATGAGTGGTTGATCAATGAATGAAGAGTTGTCGAAAATGGCCATGGCAATAGGGGCTTTATAGCAGCTCGCACCAGCTCATGTAGATCATCTCTACTCGTTAGCATAGTCAATCCATCTGTGTTAGCTGAGAACAGGCTGAGACCTCATTGTCGTCGTCACCTGCGATGGACGCCGCACGAGTACGTAAGTCTACGCTTAGGACCATACCGGCGACGGACCTGGAACACATTAGTTGATGAAATGCAAGCATTGAGACACATGCTGCCTCCTTCGTAATTTTGCAGGATATTGATGTACGTATACCATGAAGCTTAAGCAGGTAAAATTTGGGACTAAGAGCCGTTCCTGCGTCAGATCCTGAGCCAAACGTGCTGGTTTCCCACAATCAAAGATATGGCTGTGATTCCGGGTAAAGTCGTATCCGGTGGGAGGTGGGAAGAACTGTGGGGATTTTATCATCTCAAGCGGTGTTTCTCGAGCTGCCTCCCACAAGAGTCCAACACTGCGCAGATCGTGTGTTGTGGGACAGATCGGCCGCGTCATTGGCTTTCTCAAAGCCCCGTTGAAGATGACGCGTCAGCTGAAATATTGACTGAAAGAGGATAGCCTCCTGAAGCTAACGAAATTTAATCTTGCATCGATGCCTCAAATAGAATCAAAAAGAAAGGTTGTTGGCATCAGTGGGGCTGGATCTTATCAATCTATGCTTATTCTTGAAAGGTGAGTCTCCTTTCTCTTCTGCTCCTGAAGTGTTGGGTTCTCCCGTTGTCTGGTACACTATTACGGACTTTACGGGCTCTCACTTTCGTCCTTATCAATTGGGATGCGGATTCGCCTGGCTTCTCAATAAGTCCAGATTAGTGAGATAAAGACTTGCAAGAGACGATGACGGTGCTTGATAGCTGTTCAAGCTGAAAATGTGGTTGCAATTGTGACCATTCTGGCCCAGAAACGTCCTTGCTCAGCCTCAGTGATGCTCATCAACTACTGCTATCTCTGTTTCATCACGCAGACCGGCCCAAGCACCGATGTCTGACTTTCCCCTGACTGATCCTGACATTGTCTTTTTTTTATTCTGGCCGCTGATTACTGCCCGTGGATGACTTTATTTCTCCCGAGGAAACTCAACTCTCAAGTGCATGTGATACACCTCAAAATGCTGCAAACGAGTGAAAGGCCTGGGCATAGTAACCCACCCCTTCGATTGAATGCTCTAAGCTCGAGCACTCTGACTTTCGGATGACGCAGGAAAAACCAGCAACCTCAGACCCTTCCAGCCAGCGGCCCCTCAGCGCGTAGCTAGTCACTGCAGAAATACAACACTGCCCAGGTCAATCCCCAGCACACGCAGGAACTGGTATCCACCGTTCGTACATGCACCTTGTACTCATCGTTTCTCTTCACACATTGACTGTCAGCGGTGTCCACTCTAGATCCTGCCGTTTCGAACCCTAGGGCGCATACATCTGCACATACGACATGCTTCTGGTAGCTTCCGACTCACAATCGATATATTTCAGATAGGGTCCAAAGGGTCTGTGCGTCCTACATGGTTCGCGGTTATTGCTGGCTCGCTGGTAGTATATCATCGACCCCTGACACCCTGGTTTCAAGTCTCGTCAAAGCTACTCATTCAATATGAGCGGCAGCCAGGCATTGGCGGCTAGGATACTTCGCCGGGGAATGTCTTCCCTTGAGTGAGCACTCATTCCATTTTATGAGATGAATAAGTAAAGGTACCATCGACCAAGTGCAACGTCGATCTTGATCTTCATTTGGGCGCGATCCCTGCCGCATTATTGGCGGATGAAGAATAAAGTACAGCTATTTCACCTCGCATCAACGTCCATCAATTGCCACAACGCTAAGGCAATACAAACAGCAGGGATCAATCGGAAGACCCCGACACTACCCGCCAAGCACAGCGTACTTATGCGCACATTCATGTGAACTCCTCTTTACTCATGCCCAGTCGTAACGCCTAACCCTGTAGACAAGGACAGGGGAAAAATACCCAATCGAGTAGGTACCCATTGCCCTCACAGAGTCAATTGACGAGGTAGATTCCTCAAACCCATCTGCCAAGTCAGTATCCTTGTCGGACGGTGGCACTAGCCAGGGACCAAAGTACTTCCTACTTGGTACGGACTGGACAAGTCTGGTCTGGTCTGGTCTAGATCCGCCACAGGGTGCGGAGTGATCTGCATGGAGGGTGATTGCGTTACATTCACTTGCATAGAAGTACTTTCATTCATCTATTTAATATATTAGCTCTGGGGTGCCTGAGATAATGAGGTAAGGGGCGGGGATGAGCTAACCTAACTCGTTATTTTTCCGACAGGCTAAGAAGAAGGGAGTGGTTATGGTAATTCGCTCATGTCTGGGATTAAGGTTGGACACCACTTAGGTACTACTGCGTAATAGGAGAGTGGATTTGAAGGTAGCATTCATACGAATAGTACACTGAATAACTGCATAAGAACTTTTGGGTATATTAACTAGTCAAGGAATCCCAGCGCCACCGATAGGAGAGTAGCCCAATTAATAAAGTCAAGTCATTATAGTATACAGCGATCGTAAGAAGAGATGGGATATGATTCGCTATGTGCGAAACTTCTCACTCTCCTTGTTGTGTCGCCACAGCCCGCCCGGGAGCAGATTCTGTTTCAGAAGCGCCAGCTCCTTCTGCAGCGCGGCGTTCTCGTCCTGCAGCTCCTGCATGTATGCAATGGCATTGGTCAGGATCTCCGACTTCTTCAGCGAGGCGGGCCCCGACCCGCCCTTGGTGGGTTTCTGGACCCCGCTGCCGGACATGGCTTTTTCCAGGGCGACAAACTTGGCGTTCATGTTGGTGCGGTACCGCTTTTCAATGATGTTGTGGGCAGCACGCTTGGCGGCGTTGCGGCCCGTTGCTGTTTGCGAGTCACTGGAGAGACTGCGCGTGTTCTTGCGGGATGTTGAGGCCGCAGGGGGAGAGACTGGTGCAGGAGCGGGAGAGTTGGTGGCCTGTGATGTGACGGGGTATTCTTGCGGAGTCATTTCAGGGCTGGAGGACCAGCGGGTAGCTTGTTCGCGTTTTTGGGTGGCTGTCCTGCGGCGAGTTGTTGGCTTTTCAGTTGTGCGTGGCGAGACAGTGGGAGCGTCTATCGTGGCCGAGTCGAGTGATGAGACACGGCAGGCGGGAGACCACGGCTGATCGTCACTTTCCAGATCCTGGATTGTCCTTGTCAGTAAGTTTGTAAACATGGCAGTAATACGAGAACATACCGATGAGAGAGAGTCCTCGCCAGAGTGAGAGATTGCAAATCCGCTGATATCTGCCGGGGGAGCGAACAGATCCACAGGGAAATCCTTGGGATCGAGCAGCATATCATTGGGGATATCGAGAGGGAAGGTCTCAGGAAGCATGGTGTTCAGCGAAAACAGATCGATAGCGCTGTCATAACTCCAATTGGCCGATAATGGATCGGGGCCTTTGGGTTGTTGGTTGACAAAGCGGTCATCGTTGTCAAAGGTGAATGCCGTTGAGGCATCAGGTCTGTTGTATGCCATGGCAGGTGATGATGCTGGTTGAGTACTGATTGAGTACGGTGTAGAAAGGGATGTGATCGTAGCTGGAAGCGGAAATATAAATATCGAATTGTGTTCAGGTGCTGTGGATGACAGATATAGAACTGTGGATCTGAAGAAGATAATTCAGGTCGGAAGGCCGCGCCGGGAGATATATAAAGACCGTGCACAATTGAATATTTTCCGTGGTCCACGCCGAGAAGTCGCTAGAGCAAGAGGTGTATTCGCTTGTCTGGCAATCCACCTGTCACCGGTGACGCGCAACCGTGATCACCCCAGCCGGATACAGGGTATTCCAGCATCGGTGGGCTCCGATGGAGGGCCGTTGAAATCAGGACCATCTTCTTGCATAAAGACAAAAAAACAAAAAAACACCGACGTCAGAGGTGACCGGGCCAGATGTCAGAGATCGAAAGTACCACAGTGGCTGAACGATGATAACCGCACAGTGGATGCAAAAAAGGTCAATGGGCAAAAATGAGTGGACGAGCAGCTGCACCACGACCGTTGGACCAAGGGAGAAAACGGAAGATCGATGATTAGTCTAGTACCTTAGTGTCTTGGAGCGTTACCGTATAACTACGAATAGGGGCCATTGCCAAGATGCTTCGGCCGAAACTCGTCACCAGCGCATCCCTCGGCGCCGAGTCTACGGCCGGTATGTCTGCAGAATACGGGTATTATTCATTCTGGCATGCAAGCAGCAATACAATACGGTTATCAGAATACGTACAGAATTCCATGCTGAAACAGCTTGATGTACTCGGAGCTTGCAGCCAATGTTGTTGGGCTGTTGTTTCTATTGCCTTGAGACAAGCGGCGGGTTTGATTTTATCCTGTCCAAGGCCTTGTTCTTGAGCTCCATTAATCCGACAGATAGGTACTCTCTGGACAGCTGGACAGAAGCTGTGAAACTTCTCAATGCATATCGATTAGACGTGGATCCTATCTTATACAGAAGGTATAAGCGTCCATCTAATGTACCTAGGAATGAAGCAGGACAATATAAACACTTGTCGGGAGAGCCCTCGAATCCTCCTAATGTAGCGAATTGTTACGTCTGACTCTCCAATTCATTGTGCATTCTGCACGGCTTCTTCACTCTGTAGTTGTAGCTATGTCTAGCTCTCCTGCTCTATCGGTAGATACCTATACCGAGTGGGTTCGGTACCCCAGATAGCGAACCGACGCCGCTGACGATGGTAGATCTGCCAGAGAGAACAGCCAATAACAGCACACGCAATTCCAATCACCAGCCCAATTGCCTTCTTTCTCAGAATTTTCTCGGGTGTATCCGCCGGCAGTACTTGTAGACTACCGTAGCGTGACAGACAGGGTCAACCAGGCCAGTCACCGAGCCGGCACGGATTCCGGGCCTCAAGGGTCTAGCCGCATGCCACTCAGTGGTGTGATCCCGGATCTCTGATTGCGAGGATCCATCCGTGCCTGGCGCGTCAGCGGCGTGAAGTTACCTGGGCTGTGGCTGTTAAGGTTGAGCCCGTGGGTTCGATCAGGGTCGTGGATTTCGGATTCCGTGGGCGTGTGATACACCTACATGATCCATCCTACCTGGAAGTGATGCGTCGGATCTGGATGTTGTAGAGTAAGGTGATCTTTCTGTGTTGATTCCGAGTATCTCGTCCGAGAAATTTGTGACTGGGCGTGTGACCTTGCCTCACGTTGGAACATGTCGGGATAGTACAGCGGGAAAGAAATATATCTTGGATAAGTGTATCTACCATGGTCCGGCTAGATTCAGGCTGGTTCACATGCATTTCTCAGCCCTATCGGTTAGTTGGCTTCTTCGGCCTTCAGCATCACTTCGGCTTGTGCATGGTAGTATGGTATACCAATTCTCTCTGACTACATCAGATAGTGTGGAATCTGTATCTGTAGAATCGAGTATTGACTGATGCCAGGTAGCTTCAATCTTCTACATGACGAAGATAAGCAGTAGACCCCGGATGCACTGACATTGGTACCCGACTCCTGGGACACATTCCGAGCCCCATCTCGGATATATATTGAACCCCTCAACGGCTCTGCTGATACTTCAGTAGCCTTGAGCTGTTGGCTGTCATGTGATGATCCTTCGTGTCTTTCATTATCCAGCACTATGAACGTGGATGAAGTATCAGGTAACAATGAGTCGCTAGTCACCAGTGATGCAGGTGAGTCTATGCAATAAGGGGTTTCCTTTCTCAGCTATCCCGCAGAAGCACTGAAAACCACCAGAGCTGGCAGGTGTGATATTGACCCGAGGAAGACTTCTCGGAAACCATATCCCTGAAGAAAGTCCAACTAGCACGGAGTGTTTTGCAGGTCTACTGTCTACCCCCTACCAACCCCCGAATCGTAGTCTCAAAATCCTCCGGCTCCCTCCCCAGAATCTCCCCCAGAACAGGTGACACAACCGCCGTCTCCCCCGCCCGGATCGCTTCCCACGCAGTCGCCCACTCCCTCGACAGATTCACCCCGTGGTACGTATGCTTATCCCCAATCTGCGGCAACGCCACATACTCATCCGCCGTGATCTCCCGGATCCGCACAGGCTTCCCCACGGCCCGCCCCAGAACCTCCGCCGTCTCCTGCAAACTCACCTCCCTCGGCCCAGAAAGCAGCACTACCCGATTCAGATACGGGAAGCCAGACGGGTTCTTCGCATACGCATACACCATCTTCGCCGTGGCCTCGCCCAGCTCGTCGCGTTTCACCCATGCCACCCCCGGGCCCGTCCCCGGGTGCGGAATCGTGATCTCCTCGACTGGATTGTGCAGGTCGAACCAGGCCGTGTAGATCGGGAAGGACTCGGAGTACAGGCCCTCGCGGATGGAGGTGTAGGTGACGTGGCCGTGGCCGGGGAGTTCAGCGAGGTACTTCTCCGTAGCGAGGTGGGCGCCCATGACGTGCGCAAGGCTGGACTCGCCCAGGTCGCCGGCGAAGGCGAGCGAGGAGTAGAAGATGTGTTTGACGCCGCTGCGGCGGGCGGCGTCGATGGCGGCTTTGTGGGCCTGGTTGTTTTGCGTTAGCTCATTCAGGAAAAGGACCTAGGGTTGAAGAGGGAGTACCTCTACTCGGTGTTGGATCTCGAAGGAGGCGTAGGAGATTAGTATTAGCACGCCGACGTTGTCGAAGACGCGCTCGAGTGTTGCGCGGTCATCGTAGTCTGCTCGGCGGACTGTTGCGCCTTCGCGGGAGAGCGAGGCTAGCTTTTCCGGGTTGCGGGCGATGAGGATGAGCTGTGAGGCGGGGACAAGCTTGATGAGGTGGTTGATGATGCTTGTTCCTAGGCCTCCGGATGCTGGGAAGACGCCGATTTTCTGGCTCATCTTGTGTTTGTGTTGATGGCTATGATGTAATGATGGTGGTGGTGGTGGATATCGTCGGGCTGAGGGACCTCAGATGTATATCAATTGAACAACTGGTGCTTGTATGCGATCAAGGATATGGTTAAATATATAGTCTAGAGATAATTAATAATTCATCAGTGCAAATGCTGACGTCTGATGTCTTGATGCTGTCAGTCTGCTTGTGATGGTTCCGTCGTGGATTACAAATCGGGATGCTCCACCGTACACAGTAGATCACCATGGTTCTATTCAGGGGACCAATGACAATAACACAAACGCTGGCTACATCTTATTATAAGCCAGAATGAATCGCTCCCCATCATACTCCGTCACAGTGTAATACTCCTTGCGCACCTTGTTATAGCTCAAATCCTCATTCCCCGCCATGAACCATCCATTACGCAACTCCGCTGCTTTTTCAGGCTTCCACTTGAACATATCTCCGGCTTTGGGGGACCGTCCATTGCTGCGCGAGATGTAGAAGGTGTTATCGTAGGAGAAGCCGCCCTGCATGCGCAGGAAATCGGCACAGTACGCCCATGTGGCGGTGACCATGCTCTTGTCGTTGGTCTTGAGCTTGCCGGTGTTGGTGTCGAGTGGGTACTTCACGAGACGGATCGGGTCTTTGGATGAGTCGCTGATGAACTCGCCGACCAACAGCGTGTTGTCACTGCGATCGAGAGAGACCCAAGAGAAGCGGAAGGGAGACGAGGACCCCGGTGTCCATTTGTACGATCTGTCGGCGTCAATAACAATCATCCAGCCGTCGCAGAAAATCAACATACCGAATCTGAGGAAGAACATAGAGGTATCCCGCCGCAGAGTACTTGCCATCCTTCTTTCCAACATCGTCACCATCCTCAACCTGCCAGATCTTACCTAGATCAAACACCCGGATCCCATGCGACGTATCCACAACGTACAACCACTCTCCGTACCATGCAATCCCGCCTGCATGGACTGGCACAGCAGCAAAGTTATCGTCAGCAGTGGGCTCCACCAGCAGCACATGGCGGTACTTGTGCGTCTTGCGGTCGACAAAGCTCACGCGCACGCTTTTATCGTCGTCGCGGTGCCAACTGACAAGCCACATCTCGCGGCCGTCCCACTTGCCCGAGGCTGAGGCATCAGCAGAACCAGTGATGCCCTGCGGCACCCATTTCGTAGTCTCCATGTCGCCGGAGTTCCATTTCCAGGCTTCAACGGGGCTGGTCCCAACAGGAGGGTTCCCCTTGACGAGGTCACGGTTGGCAGAGTCAAGGACGTGAGGGATGCTGACATTTTTCCCGGCTGAGGAGAATATATGAGAGAGTGAAGCTAGGTGAGTGTTGTCATCGGTCTGTTGGAGGGTAAAGGCGGAAGCCGTGAGAGGCCCATTGCCTTTAGTGCAGAGACGGGGGTCTGCGGCAATGGTAGAGAGAAACAGAGAGAGGAGACTGGTAAGGGCGAAGATGGACTTCATGGTGCGTTGTTAGACCATCGTCCTTGACTCCTGCTGTTTCTATCACCCCTTATATAGTATGGATGCTTGTTGAAATGACTACTTTCTTGGCAGAGCTATGTTTAGCTGGATACGAGTTGTTCCTGTGGGGGATACGCGAACACGAGGATCAGCACAATAGGGCTCATTTC